AAAACTTGCAAATTACGAAAAAAAACTCAATTTTCAAGTCCCATCAAATAAATCTATTACACCGATTAATTGCGCGTGCGCAGGGCGTGTGTATTAAAGCTAATGTTACAGCGACGCATCGCTGCGCGGGCGCCAGACGTCACGCTTATTTACCGCCGTCTCGTCACCTGCTATACGGAAGCGAAGTTCATTACAGCTTACATGATTTACAATCCATCATCTCGGCATGCCACCTCTTTAACAACCTCTGGGATCACTTAGAAGCGCTTTTTCAAGGACTTCAACAAGGAAATTTTGTACGAGGCTTTTCGAAACATTGTGTGTGTAATGTTTATTATTTTAAAGACAAAAACTAATAAAATGTAAAAGAAAAAAGAAAATGCAACGAAGCAAACATATAAAATTTTAAACAGTAAACTCAATTTGAACTATCAATTGTGTGGCTGCGGTGTATACAAAAGGATCCACTCCGCTAACGCCACAGCCGGGATTAGGAAGTAGCAGTGGACCTTAAAATCGATTATACAAAATGGCCAACAGGTTTTTTTTATAACATCAAGTGACGGGACGAACAAGTCGTGCGCCTGATGGTACGATACACGCCTGTCCGTAATAGTTATAGTGCCACTCAGAGCTTTAAATTGCCAAGATCTCAGCGGCACTACCACAGCGCCTGTCACCCTGAGACATAGTTGACACGTCCCAGGCGCCTGTAATTTCACCAGCACCCTTACCTTTCGAAACCGGAACACAGTTATGTGGCAGTACTACCCTGGACAGCCCTTTCACAAGGAGCTCTACTGCCAGAAAAAGATGCAGGTAGTGTAGTTCATTCTACATACCTTAGCACACGTTCCCTCTTTGGTGCGGCAGCTTCAAAAATGAGAATAGCCATGATGGTCGCCAATCTTCGTAGAGAAGCGGCACACTAAGAAGAAGAAGTTACACGGATTATTGTTTGAGTAGAGATGAGTTCTTGGACCTCCGATCCATCTTACAGAGCAATCAAGATACAAGCAAGTGATTTAGAACCAAATTAATAATCCCACGCGAACGTAAATGGAGCGAGCATAAGAAGATAATCAAGCGTCTATTTATAGCGAAGGGAATGTCGCGAATGTCACACTGACTATTTATAGAGACCCATTACTGTCATTGCGCTCGTCATGTGACGGCCAGATACCTGTGTTCTCCTACGAGCATATAAAGCTGTATAGACGGAGCTACAATGACATCAACGTCATCATTTGGACTTCTTTAAGACAGGGTTCAAGCTAACACTTCAAACATTTTCCAAAGTCTCAGAAACTTCTTCGACACGCAGGTTTAATTACGATGTTTACCTTTACCGTTTGTGAGAGGCCGGAGAGGCATTGTTTCTAAATATTTATCCGAAACGTCCACCTCTTCATCGAGAAGTAACAGTTCTACCACTAACGTAATACCGCCTTTTAAAAATTGTCATACAAAACCGAGTTCTTAGGTTTTCCCGTCTGATTCCCTACAGTGTGTTGATCAGTTGATCCACCGCCAATTTTAAATCCGAACTGACCCCCCTCTAAATTTTGCAACTCCCAAAGGATCCCCTCATTATATTTGTAAGGTAAGTACAGTTAACAGAAAAAGACGTTTTAAAATCAACCAAAAATCAATTTTCATTTATTGGGCAATTGTGATCAAACGTTGTAATTATCATAGACAATCAATTTTTTTTTGTGACAGGACAGGTGTGCATATTCCCATGCGAGTATTGCAAATGACAAGTTACAAAAATCAATTTTAAGTACTATTTAAAATCTAAATTTAGTGTTATAATTATCAAAAGTCAATTATGTTTTTTATGACAGGTCATTAATATTAACATACTGGATTTTATATAACTACTATGAACTTATAAGCAGCCAGCCAAGTTCCATGCAATTCACTTGACGTGGTAAAACTGAATTGCTTAAATTCGTATCATGATGACCTACACAAAGTTGAACGGGAATGACATGCAGCATGATGAGTTTTACTTTTTAAGCGTTCATTATTGTCTCGGGCTGGCTGACATCTAACTAGAGCGAGATAGAACTACATACTAAATCATATGAAAGAAATAGACAGGTGTATATATCCTGGGAGCGCTCAAGCACCATTAACCGATTGTGTTCAAAATGAGAATAATTATACTTTTTTTTATTAATTTTATTACTGATTATACTTATTGCGTTGTTTTGTAATATCAGCAACTTTTCAATGATGCTTTACAATTTGTCGTACGACAAAATTACATGATTGCAATAAAGTAAAATTTGGCACTGTTCAAAAGTTATTTTACGACTTTCGCTAAGCCAATAAAATTATTAAAATGATTAAAATTCCATTTAAAAATTGCGATAACATTGTATGCAAAGATTGGAAACTCGAACTAAAACATTTAAAAACGCTCAATAATTAAATAAAAGTATTTATTTATTGACAATTGGCTATATAGCCTAAAAAGACAGCAAATAATTATGAAACTGAAAATATAACAACACTTAAACGAAATTCCTTAAAAATGTAACAAATCTAAAAAAAGTTAGTCACGGAGTAATTTTGTTTGTACGAATTACGGTCAGAAGTACGACTTAGACAGGCAATCCAACTTACAGGCTTAAATAGGATTGCTCTAAGAGCTCATAGTAGGCCGCCCAGTGGGAAAAAATAATCATATTTGTTCTTGATCCCCTGTGTAGGGGATCCGATGGGAATGGAAAAATAATATAAAATTTATTTATTTATTTAAATTTTATTGCACACAAAGTAGTACAAATGGCGGACTTAATGCCATTAGGCATTCTCTTCCAGACAACAGGAGAGCTGAGTTCAGATTAAATAACAGGAGTGTATAACATGACAAATAAAAACATATAAATAACACACAAAAAATAATCAAAATCTATAAAATATTACGGATCCACCAGGGAATCGATTTTAGGGGATTAGACGGGAATTACTCAGTTCTTAGGTTTTCGCGATTGTCACAACTAAGAAATAAAACTTTTCGGAACGGAAAATTTTTCGGATATTTTTTTGTTTTTTTTTTTTTTTTCAAATAATCCAACGTTTCTGGTCCTTTATAACCCCATGGTCACGGGTGATTGAATGTCATATAAAAGTATATTAAACTGTTCAGTTTATAATTATCCAATTTTAACACATCTATTGGCATAGACGGGGTTAATTCGAAATCGAGTGCGGCTGACGTCTCTAGTTGATGCTATTAGTTGTAAATTTTGCTGTAAATCAAATGCAATTAAGTGTGGAGATGAACTCTAATTACCGTCCTAATTACTGTAAATTTCCACCATTACGTTATAGTAACATGGCAGTTGCAAGTTGTTGAAAATTTACTATACAAGCAGCTGCATTTACTTTTCTATCTCTCTAAAGTCGAGCAGACATAAAAGTGTAGTACCATTCATTAATGTTTTATTTTATTTTGACTTAACTGTGGTACCTTAATGGTTTGACGTACCTTGTAGGCTTGAATCCGGGCTTGCACCTCTGAGTTTTCGGAATATATGTATGTGCAAAATTTTATTTGAAATTTACAAACAATGCAAAGGGCCCTGGCAACACCAGGGCACCACCGATTGTGTAACCTGTTATTTCTGGTTCAGTCGCGGATAATGGCGTTAACGCAATGAATTCAAATCTGCTATAGTGCTATTGTTATTGTTGATTTAGCTATTAACCAATAAACCAAAACAAAATGGCTGCGGCACCAGTCGTATTTAAATTGATTGATATGTAGTTCCTGTTGATATGAAATATGAAAATCGACATAATTCCAATTAGATAAAGCACAAAATCGTAGTTTCAAATGTATGACTTATAACAATAAGATAGCATAGATAACAATAAAATATAAAATGAGAACGAGAACTTTATGTTGTGCAGTGAAAGATTATAATCGTAAGATTTGCAAATCATAGCATTGTCCATGTTTTTCTTTGAATTATACCATATTCTGTATTCGTCGTTTTTGCCCACGATTTTGTACAGAAATGGGTTAAAACCCGGTGCTTTGTGTAAAAACTGGTTAAAACCTGGTTAAATTTCGGGTGGATTGGTCAGGTTTTAACCCACTCCCCACCTCTGGCCATCACTGCATTTATATATGACTGACATCCATAGTTCCACTGTAAAACTGCAAATGATAAACAACTGTAAACATGTGAATTTTGTAAACAGCTGGAAATACTCAACACGTTGCGTTGGATAATGCGACTTTTTAAAGCCGTTGTTCACCGACACCTACCTAGATTTTGAATTTAAAAAATAAAATTTATAGCGAATATACGTTCCTCCAAACACTCCATCCACCTGCTAAGATAACTTCAGGAAAAAATATGTAACGTGCCACCAACCTGTATAATAACTTTCCGAAACTAATTCCCGGGGCACTGCCCAGAACACCCCGACCAGAACTAAATTAGTTCTACTGGAAACCGAATCCGGGACTGGGAGGTCGCCAAAATTAGATTTTATTAAAAAGCTTTCCGATTATCCAAATCTCAAATAACACTAAGTCGTGTGCGATACTATCCATTGTCGATATAAAAAGTTCATCGCAAACCTTTGCGGCATGCGCATGCGCTGCGACCGTTTGTGCGCCACGCAATTGTCTATGAAAACAAGCGTCACATTACAGACGCCGTTTGACGAAGTGGAAGTTTTTTGTATTTGTACTCCAATTCAATGTCAATGGTTCGCTCACTCCCTATGAGCCTGTATATCCTCTCTAACTTCTACATGTCGTTAAAGTAGTTTCTTTGTTTACGAAACAAGTGCTTTCTCATTGTAAATTTAGTCAACGTTTTGATAGTTACATAAATATTTTCGACAACATTTCCTGTGATTGTCGTTCATTGAATTGGCTGTATCCTTACGTTCCAAAGTTGGGTTTGGACTCTGTTCTACCATACCCCGCCAACTTTATAATTGTTAAATGATGTCGTTTGTAATTGCAGAGAACGCGGCGGCGGTGACGACGAAGCCGAAGCGACGCGCATACCTTCTCAAGCGCAAAGCGCTCACCACCGGCTTCTTCGACCAGCGCAGCGGGAAAGACGGCGACAAGGACAAAGGTGAGTTAAAGCACTCCATCTACTGTGTCTTCTTGTCACTTATAAGTATGGAATTTGAAATGAGACCTTGTTATAGCTGAGCAAAGTGCAAGGAGCATTAAAGACGGCCAAACGGCGAAAGATAAGGCCGCTCTAAGTAATGTACAGTCAGCAATGTCCTTTAGACTTTTGAGAACATTAACTCTAGACAGAATAAACAATCACGTGATAGCGGTAAACAATTACATGAGCTGTTTGTCAGGTCGTTAGCAACGCGATGTCGTGAGTAACAGCTGGTGTCTGCCAATAACTCGTCATAGCCTGGTACGAGGAATGCACTTGCACGCTCATTTGTATTGACTTACTAGCACCGTATGTTTCGAAAGTCGAAGAACAGCCGGCATTACAATGTTGACAAAGGAATGTTAGGAGCTAGCTAGCATCTAGGATTAAAGAGATTTATTACATGGCATTTTGCGCAATGTTAACGATGGAATGGCATTTACCTATCGTTCACATTTTGGTACACCAGGAGCTTTCAGATGCTATAGTTATGACTACAATAGCTACAAAAAGTCAGGTCACAAATAATATCTGCACACTGAACATTCATCAAGATTTTCAAATAATCTGTTCCAATATTTTTCTTTTTCCATTTGAATCCGTATTAAATAAAGCAACGTGAAGAAATGCAGGTGCAGGTGTTATAAAACTCACATTTTATAAACACGTAAATCAGAATGATGTATTCATTGCTGGCGCTATCGGTCACCGTTTATTAGCGTGAGACGTAAAACAGAAATGGATAGTGAAGACATCAGACTGGCCATTTTGTGGAAAACATATTAGGTTAGGTTTGGAATTTTAGAATGTTTTTTTTTCAAGATTTAACGGTGATGAAGTAACTACATTAATTTGGGTATTCTATTTTATGAATCACAAACTTCAAAGACTTCTGAAGCAATAGAGCTTTAGATGTCTGGTTCAGGTCAGTTGTAGCCTAGTGGGAAAATGTTCGCTTCTTTTATTAGGTTCGAGTATTGTGGCGGCATAACTTGCCATGTACCAACATGGTACACTCGTCAAAACTTTTCCTTACCAGGGCACGAGAAACCAGAACAGGGGACTACGTGAGAGCATCTTAGTATTTTAGAAGTAGTAGAGCTGCTTGTGAAAGAGCTTGTCCAAGAATGTACTGCCACCGAACCTATTTCTGTCGCCAAGTAATGTGAGCATTACTGCGTTCCGGTTTTGAAGGGTAAGGATGCTTGTGAATTTACAGACTTACCAATTTGATGTCCCAAAAAAAAAAAAAAAAAAAAGGGCGACGGGTGCAAAATTAATCAACGCCCAAAGGGTCGACGTGGCGTATCATATATCCTAGTCCTGGATGTATACAATACAATGCCTTCTTCTCGGTTTTATAAATATTTTATACATTTCTACCACCACTATTTCACTGTGGTGAAGGCGGTTATTTCCCTCATATTTCTACTAACTGACACATTTTGAGGGCGATCCAAATTCATGGTGAAAATTGGCAACATTACCTACCGAATACCTCCCAAACTAGCACGTGGAAACCATACTAGAGGTTAGTGAGAAAAATAAATTTAGCTTCCGATAAAATTTATTCCTGGAATATTTTATTGTATAACGTTGAAAATAGTCGTGTAGATTGACTGAGAAAAACAATTTTATGCGTATAGAACGTTTTTGATCGAATTTTGTTTTGTTATGATTGATTCTGTTAGCAAGGATTTAGGAAGTTTATTTTGCTTAGAAAGTAAGTATGTACATAAAGTTTATTGCCAGGAGATTTACTGTTTATTAACATAATTTTAGAGATGAGAATTTAAACATCTGGGGGAATAACTTGTAAATTTATGTTAGATTCGATTAATAACCTTGTTTATGGATGGACGGCCTGAGAATATTTTTACATTACTTAGCAACCACGTCTCTTCCGAATAAAGGAGTCAAATTAGGCAAACTAATATTTATTACTAATAACTTTCCGGTCTATAAAGCAGGTATTACAAAGTATAGTTATTATATAGCAAGTATTTGGTTATAGAGATCGAAATACCTGAAAGAAATTCCCGCACCGATCCAAAGAACATCAAAGTGTTTGTTTAAACATCAGTCTGCCCAGAAACAATACGAAAGCAGTTACATTCCACATTGATTCGGATCGCCGAAATTCACACGAAAAATATGAATTTGTAAGCGTAGGCGCATGAGACCGAGCCGCGTATACAAACGCTTAAAAATAGTTGGCGAAGTACGCGCTGTACATGAGAACTATCAGTCAACACACGCCGATATATATTGTTCTGCAGCTTTTGTAAAGTATACAATACATTTTTGATGGCTCGATTTCATTGGCATTTTTCTTACTTCTCTTATCACGCCAAAATGATGGACAAGACTGCAACGGCCTAGATTGTTATACAAAAGAATTTTTGCTCTGCTTATGATAATTGCTTTTGTTTTTTCTCAGACAGTGTCCCTTAATTGTTGTTGATTTAGGGATAGCCTTCAGCAATTTTTATATTAACCTTAGGAAGAGGTTTTGTCGTGCCGTCGGTTATGATTTTCAGCATATTACCATCCATTGGATTGACACAGACCAGCTTTCCTATCGTAACTTTCAATTGCTATAACACATAATCACATTCTGTTCCATCTGGTTCCATTTCGATTAAATCATCACAAGTTCTGTCTCTACAAGTAATTTCATCTTGTGTTATGTGTTGAATTTGCATAATACTCACCAGAGCATCTTATCCATGGATATTATTTAGGCCAATTCCAAAGTTGTGAAATATTTATACTTCTTATAATTGTGGAGAATTTTCCGAGAAATGTTTAAGACATAATTTTCTAGTAACATAAACAACGGGATGTAACATTTTTCTAACACTGTGTCATTGTTGTATGTTCGCATTTAGCGCTTTTAAATGGGGTGTTTGACCTTGAATTAGCACGTGCTCTGCGAAACTGTTTCTGAGGGCTAAAGACCTACATCCAGTTCTTGTGACTTTGTGAATTTCGTTTTAAGTATGTCTTGTTATTTCGGACTTATCAACATATGTACAATAAGAATGGGTAGTTATTTAAATGCATCATCATGACCTATATAGGATCCGGACGATTCTTTTAGGGTCGTAATTCGAAGAGTTTAAACTTCGTCGAAATGGTACTTTGAAGTTTTTTTATTGAAGATGCGGAAGCTGTAGGTAACACGCTTCATTATTGCGTAATTGATTCAAATGTTTGTTTTTATATGACGTGTAAGAAACGTGCTACCGCCTTGATTGCTTTTACTCGATTTATAGAAAAACCTTGCCAATTGTTCACTTCAATACAACTTTATGTGTTTTTTTAATGTTTGTTTTGAACTCACGCCAATATCTTCGGGGATTTATGTTTTTTTCTTATCATGACCAAAATTTAGGTTATGTTTATATGTTTCAGGTTAATTCGGTTAAGTGTTCGGTGTTTCCTCAAATTGTTGGCGCCGCTGCTTTTTCAGGGACGTCATTTATAATAGGTGTTGTCAGTAATGCTTTAATTCTATTAACACAAACAAAACTAGCCCAGAGCTGCTCTTAATCTTTGTTACACGTGTTTTCTTTTAGACTTTGTTTGCTATTAATAATAATCGACGGCTGTATTGTGTTCAGTTACATACTGTCATTTTATTTGTAATTCATCTTAAATATATATATCTAATGGATGAGGCAGATTCCCCTCAGTAGCATGAGCAAGAAACAGTAGGAGTTGCACTTTGTAAATACACATTTATCGTATACAATATTTATTTCAAATATCGTGGATCGTAACAACTTAAAAAAGCTAAACCGGTGACTACCATCGGTTTTTCTCATTCAAGTGCGCAAATTCTGTAAATAATCTAAATACTTTATAAAGTTTTTGTTTCTTTTATTGTAACCTAAAGTTATTGTTACTTGGTAAATAATTATGGATTGTAATACCTATTGTATTACAGTTGAATGTTAGAAATATAAAAGGTTTGGCACCGTAACTAAGCAACCAATGGTCTGAAATAATGTAGCAATCCATTCTACATTGATCGTAATCTTTTTTAAAGCAATAGACTTGTTATAGGTTACAAATAAAAAATGTCCTTTTCCGTACATATGCATTTTGAAGCTGAAAAATGTGTTTCAACTGAAATTTTGGAAAGAAATGGAAAGGTTAATCTCGACATTCATATCGTTAAGGACGTTCTTAAAAAGCCAGGCTAACGTAATGCTAAACTGTGCATGGGACATGTATACCATTGTGAAGATTCTCGATTGTTGCCTAGGGTACGCCAGACGTAGTCAAAGTCAAAGGATCATTTGTGCCATAGATAAAATAAATTTATATTTGAAATTGTAATTTTTTAACCTACTGCTCGTTCACTACGATGACTTCCCTGAGAAGGATGCGCAAGAAACTCTAAGGATGGCTCTTTTCAAATAAACTTAAATGCTATGGAATACATTTTGGATCAAATTTGTGAGAAATCTAGTCAACCCATGTCATCTTTCCATACATCTTTATCTAACACGTAGTCTTGAGTTTTGTAATATGACTTTTCAATTAAAATACTTTTAATGTAAGTTTTAAACTTAGAAAATGATAATTTTAATTTATGCTCCGGAATCTTATTGTAAAAGCGTATACAGTTTCCCATAAAAGAATCATTTACCTTAGTTAAACGAAATCGTGGTACAAGTTTGGACTCAGTTCTAATGGTACCATTAGGATATAGAAGGTTAATAATATTGGGAATACGAGTCGTACCTCATTGCAAGGAGCCTCTTTTCATACATCCCAGATATATAGAGGTAGTCGTGAGAGACAAATTGGAGACAGGGGTGAGAGATTTTCAAAAATATTCAAGTTATCATCTCATTTATACGAAGCAAAAGCGCTACTACTCGGGCCCTACTCGTTATTAAAAGCGCAGAAAATAATTGCATGCCGTCGGTCCGTTTGTCTGCCGGTCGCGTCATCATCATATTAAATAGAGTTTATCACCCGTTACTCGACTCACAGACGAGATAGGGATGCCAATTTCCGAAAACTTTTTTAAAGACCCTTCATATGAAATGCTTCCATAAAGCAGAGTCCAAGAGTCCACTGTCCTTGAAGCGGGAAAGACTAGACTGGATAGCACCGCTCGGTGTGAGGATGAGACGGTGTTACAGGAATCATTCCCGCAAAGAATTTACAACAGTCGATGCAATTCAACAAAAGCGACCTGAACTAAAATAGTTGTTTTTTTAACTTATGACACAGCTGTTCTCAGAGTGTACTAAATTGTACTGTAAATAACATACCGAGAGAGCTAGAATAATCACATAGCAACATTGGGCCAATACACTTTTTGGCTTTGATCTAATGTAATGATGAAATGAGTAATGATAAATTACATTATTTACAGCTCATTAACTTTTGATTGTGAAATTTATTTCCTCCGTAAATTCGATGACACTAAGGTCATGTACCTTAATGTCATCGAATTTTAATTTACAAATCATAAGTTGTTTTCTGTTTCCATTTTTTTTAACATTCTGATGTAGCTAATTAAACAGATTTGCAATTGTCTACCACGATACACAATGCTTTCCATAAATGAGCTATGAATGTCGAAGTCATAATTTTCTTTTCAACCTTGACCTTTTTGTAATATAACGGTAGACGCAGCTGTCCATCAGTTTAATTTCGCCTTTATCTTCATAATCACGTACTTACTGAGAACTACTCGCCTGATAGTTATGGAGAGAAGCAATCGTTGGAGAATTGTTGACTTCGTCCGAAATGTCTTGATGATTGAATCAAAACACTCCAACTACCTCAACTTTACCATAGAACACAGTTCTAAATTTAGTTAGCTCTATTTCAGCTTCACGTACAGTGATTGAAACTATAAAACGCTTCGTAAAGATTCTGTTCACAAATTCATCGATTGATGACCCTGCAAATAGTAAGCTATTTCTCTATTGTGCGTCCAGCTTTAGCAGGCTAGGAATAGTGCGGCAGGAATAGACCGGCCTTTTGGATAACTGATGAGTTCACAACTGGACTTTGATACATTGTAACGCTGATGAAAAAGTTAGGTATCTCAAGAAAGAGCATAGTGTGTGAAACTTCTGGTGTCTGGCAAATGGGAGCTGAACAATTTAAAAAAATACCTGGTTGCTAGCTACTAACAACACAAGCCATGGTAATGGTGCTGTTAACTTTTGCGATACGTTTATACACGAAAACACGTAGCAAGGTCTTGGTATCCCGAGAAAAACAGCAATATCAAAAAACTCTTTAGTTAAAAGGCGCAATATAGGCGTTTTGTCGTCGAGTTGCGGACACCAGCCCATTGCACCAAGTACCAAGTAACTTTTTAGTTATAGATCCAGTTGATTCGTTACGGATTTTCTGCCTTTGGTCTGTTTTTAATAGAATTTTATGAAAAGAAACTGACACTTGTTTCGTTTTATCCACAGAGTCCACGGGCAGCGGGAGTACCTTCGGAGTAGCGTTGGCGCAATGCGTAGAGACAGAGCGTGCGTTACGGAGACAGCAACATGGCGGATCCCGAGCCTCGCTTGCCTCTTTCGGAGCTACCGAGAAGGGGGATGATGTAAGTAATGCATATAGGGTTAATAACTATCTCTGTTTCTAGTGATGATTACTCGAGATCATGGTCACCTGGATTACTGTACACAATGTCTCCAAAAGCTTCCGATTAATCATGGCTCTCATTACCTGGTAGAACTTGATAAAGGAGTTTCACAAAGCATTAACCTTCAAATGTATGTGATGCATTCAGTAGAGTAGAAATAATATTTGTAGCATTATATCCTTGTGAAAGAGTTCGTCTAAGAAAGTACTTCCTTACTGCATAACTTTATCTGGCGCCAAGCGGATACAGGGCTTGGTTACAAAGCTACTTGTGTGTTACTGGTGAAACTATAGGTTTCACCAGTAACACACAAGTAGCTTTTCAACTTTATGTCGGTGACAGACGCACTGGCAATGCCTCTCAGGTCTTAGTAATTCGAAGTATTGATTAGCACCGCAACTGTCATGCTTATGTCGTTTATCACCAGGTGTACGATTGATCCGTTCTATCACTTGACATCATTCAAAAAATCTGTCTGCACATCGGTATAATTTGTAGAATGGTAATTTTTGGATCACCGCTCTAAATAAGCCCGAAGACAAATTATTTTCTCGTCACGGCTGTTAGTCCATTTTATTCATCCAGGAATCTGTTCTTTTACCATGACCCTGGCAAAAGTGTTTTTTAACTGTGAAATTCCATCAGTATTGTTGTAGATGCGATTTTACTGTAAAAATATCTGTTTATTAGTTTTGAATTGAACTGTTTATTGTATTCTGTGTTCCAGCTTTTAATGATTGCTCTGAAATCATAGCACGGCTTATATCCAAGTTTCATGATTTTGATATTTTAGCATCAAGCAAGGTTTATAAGCGTCGGTTGACATAATACTTACCGAAATAGACGCTATGAATAGACATTTGATGAATTAAAAACTCAATAACCAACCTATGCAATTCATGTGTATTTTTTGATGGTGCCTTGTCTAATAGTCTACTCACATTACCAATGAAACTTGAGCTTTTGGGTTGTTTAAAAAAATGTCTATGTTATCTTAAACTGTAAGGTTCGATGAAGGTGCAAGGGCTCATTATTGAATGGACGTAAATCTGAGTGCGGTTTGGCATTCGCCATTTGAGCGCGCAAAAATAGTTCGTCTGTTCGAAGCCAAGACACGTAATGTTCTGTATGACGTGGCGCCTGCACCTGGGCCTATCCACTATTGCAATAAGGATATGTTAAAATTGTGTCATTCTAATCGTTGCCACAAACGTTATCTTGTTGAATATTTAGACAAGTCAAAGTTAATAGTAATGATTAATGACTTGGACGCGTATACGGCACCCATAGATATACTTTTCTACATCTATGATGGCACCCTTGATAGCACCCCAAGGCCACATGTGCAACAATTTTTAAGGACAGAGGTTTAAAGATTGTATGAATTAAATAAGTCGATAACTTTTTATGTTTAAGTAAGAGCGACAAAATTTGACATAATATACCTACGCAATTTGATTCACGTCGTTATGACATACGATTTGATGTGGCTTTATTACCAAGACTATGTTATAAGGCCTGAAATACCGGGATATTTCGGTACTGGCGCAATCAGTCCCGGTACCGCGATTATAGGTTCCCGGTACTCCCGGTTATAGCAAGGGACTACCTACCTATTGAGCTATGAGTAATGTCGCCCGTTGGCAACTTCGCACGGGCGTAAGTTACTGTCATTATAATGCTACTTAAACTTATTACTTAACTAGAATGTGATTTTACGATGTCATGTTATGTTAAATTTAAGAGTAATTATCCCACAAATAGATATTTTGATAAAAACTTTTAGTTTAAATTTTTATTGAATTGATATTCAATTATTTTTATATGAAATTGCTCCACTAGTTTGTTATAATTATTAATACAAAGGTCGAACACTCAGAAAAAATTCCTTCCGAATCCGGCCGGATCGAAGGAATTCTTTTCTAGATGTTCTATATTTGTATTATTAAATAGCGACAACTCTAGCAGGGGCTGGTATGGCGCTACGGCTAAAAAGTCGTTGAAAAACCAAATACGCCAATATAATAAAGATACGACGCAAGCACATAGATAAAAATTCGTGAGGTCCGCTGGTTCGTTCCGTGTCTTAGTTGGTATAGCGTCTGACACGGTATGCTAGAAGACGTGTCGGTTCAAATCCGGCCAGATCGAAGGAATTTTTTCTGAGTGTTCGATCTTTGTATTAAAAATTATAACTTTTAATTTGATTAGAGCATGAAGTTTTAATTGAAAATATTTAGAGATGTCGCTATTTAATAACACAAATATAGAACATCTAGAAAAGAATTCCTTCGATCCGGCCGGATTCGGAAGGAACTTTTTCTGAGTGTTCGATCTTTGTATTAATAATTATAACAAACTAGTAATTTCACACAAAAAATAATTGAATATTAATTAAATTAAATTTAAACTAAAAGTTTTTATCAAAATATCTATTTGTGGGATAATTACTCTTAAATTTAACATAACATGACATCGTAAAATCACATTCTAGTTAAATATGTATATAATACATATGTTATGTATATATGTATATATATACATAACTTATAATCTGCTGTTCAATAAATATAATGTCCTAATACTCATATCAACATAACAAATTCATTGTTAGTTTTTTTATTATTGATTTTTACTTATAAATAAAGCAACGTAACTCTGATCTGAAATGAGTGTCCGATTCTGGGCTATTTAAGTTTGTTTCAATAGTGAACAAACCCTTATGCCATAAATCCATATAGTTAAGAAACATTGTTACTTCTTGGTTTTTCTTTGTAATACACTATGATTTGGCGCGAATGAACTTCCCCGAAAATTTTGAAGGAAACGCATGTTGCAAAACAGTGACTTGCAATACATGATGTGGTAAACGTAATGCTCTGTTTTTTCGTAAATGTATTGATTAATGTCATAATGACAATAATGTCCCAGACGACCACGCCAATCACTTCGTCTCTAGAACATTCCCTGTAGCTTTTTATTATCCTGGCTCTCCAGAACCAATTAACAAAAAATCATTTCTCTTTAGACAATCTCGGTGGCCCAACGGTTTGCACTGTGTTGACATTGGATGAGGAGGTTCCATTCCCGGTAGGATCTCTTTAGGGAATAAACTAAATTGGTTCTGATCTGGGTATTCTGGGTAGTGCCCCAGAGTGAAATCCATTGCTCTGGTACTCACAGTGCAGGGCATTCCCAAGTTAAGACCTGGCAAGTGACGGTTGGTTGTCTGGTAGATTATTTCCGAAATTGGTCCTACCTATAGAACCCGGGACCTCCTTATCCAGCGCCCATAGTGCAAACCATTGGACCACAAAGGTCGTTAAGGTTATTGCAAACTCGTAACGCTTAAACGTTCATGTCAATTCGTTGGCAATATCCTTCTTTTAATATTTCCTTATTACTTACTGAGCTGGCTCATTAACCAAAAAAGTGTTTTAGCATCGTAAACGAGAACACGCCACTTTTTCGTTCCTGTACAGCCCCAGTTAATTTCGCGCAGGTCCATCTCCAGTGATACCTATGGGGCGAGCAACTGGTCTTCGTGGCTTGACCCAAATAGGCTCTCTTCGCGTTCTGATCTTCACCCATTCTTTCCAAATGGTCGAGCAGCGAAGGCGCTTTAGTTTCGCCGATGATGTTTGGTTCGGCGCCGAGCTCTTCTAATTCGGCATTAGTGCAGACCTTCCAGACGCCATTCCCTCTTTGAACTCGTCCCAATATCTCCCTGAGAACTATTTTCTAGTTTTTCTCTTTGTGTGAATTTTTAAGCTCACTGCTATATATAAGAACGGACCATGACGGTCATTTAAATCCAGATTTTGACTTAATGGTTAAAAAGTTTGAACACCAACACTTTGTGTAGAGCTGCACTGCAATGTAGGCAATTGTGAATGCGGATGATGATATTTTGAAGAAACCTAATGATAGTGATATCTAAAACATTCATAGAAGACGTGTACAAACATGAAACAAAGTTGTTCCAACAGCTGTAAAATCGTTACAAAAGTAAATGTCAACAATTTTTTATTTATGTTTACTGTTCAAAATTGACACAAATTTTAATGATGTCTAGTAATTTTCGAGACACAGACGTAAATAAACCTCAATTATGAACTGGTCTTGCTCTTCTAGTCGAAACGATTGAGAACTAGGAACGAACTCCGTCAATACAAAGCGACCTGAATTAAATAGTAGTAAATTCTAACGATAGACAGGTATAGTATAGATGTTTAGAATCGTGAGTATTTGGCTAAACAGATATTTACGAAGTTCAGCAAACTGGACTAGACAGTGGAGCAGACATATTGTAGGCGGTACCTCGACGCGAAATGACACGTGGCAATCAAACAGCCGATAAATCAGTGTAATGACAGCGCAGCGCCGCCGCTCTTTGATTTACGACTGGAGAATCCGATCAGTGCCGCCAGAGATAATAAACACCTACTGGAAAGCTCGCCAGTTGAGTATTACACTTTAACGTAAGCAAGTGCCGCGCGACCAAACATGTTACAGAATTTTGACATGGAGATTTCTGATTTCGTTGCAGTCTTGCGTGTACTCTGTTTAGTTTGTTCATTGTTATTTAACCATAGTGTACTTGAGTTTTATTGCAAATGTTAGGTCTGATATTGAGTCAAGGTATCCAAAAACAATTTTGGCACTGGCATTTGCCGGAATGTACTTGCAAGTAATTTACGCAACCAAAAATTTATGGATTATTGCTATTTAATTAGTTTATTTTATTTGGTCACGGGGTCTATCTAGCGAGGCAATGCTGCCCACTATAATGGGATCATTTGAGCTAGCCACAATATAGTTTGTTTTTTTTTAGGTTAGAATTTTTTTATGAAATCTTATAGTAAATCCCGGCTTTTATGTTTTAATACCTATTGACAAACTAGTTATCGTGTAATCTTTAAGTTATAAATTTGTGATCTTTATTTTAATATCTGTTTTTATTTACGTATGCGTTACGTTAAATGTAGGAATAAGCCAAAGGGGCGTGCTGTTTGGTCTGAATTATACCAGATTGCGAGTCCAGCCGACACACATAAAAATGATCACCCCGCCCTGCGCCCTCGTTTATTTTCTGAAATTATAACAACCCACACACCTATTGTGACATCTTTGAGTAGAGAATTTAAGGTATACCCTGTCGCCATTTGATTTCATTTGTCTTCGAATTTTTGTAAATAATCGCTGACGTGCTATACACTTATATTAAAAAATAAAATCAAAGGGACATAAAATTAGCATCCACAACTAGAACCTATAGATACTATAGATAGGTCAATATTGTCGATTATTGTCGTCGCTCTTACGTCACCAGTATCCGGTTACCTGCACGGCCTTCCATCGGCTCGTTTTCATTAAGGCCACGATAATTTTATCACATGACGCGGCTCACCCGCCTATCCCGATATCTTAATCTGAAAATAGTCGGCCATAACAATTTGATTGGAATGGTTTGGCTATTTATTCTCTATCGCTAACCAAAGCTCGTGAACGAAGTTTGAAAGTCCATGATCCTCCTTGATTTGAATGTGTAAATCACGAAGAAATTTCCAATCGCTCTCGATAAGATTTACGGGTGATACAGTTTTACGACTATCCTACGCAGTGGCAGGCGTTATGCATGGTTTGTTTCCGCCAAATCTTTACGCATTATATTCGTGTAATTGATTTGTTTCTAACAACCGTTTCATTTTCTTGTTTGGTTCTGTTCCGAATATTTACTTCTGTTTTAGCGTGTTATGTTTATTTGTTTGATTATTTATTTTCTCATAATTTTCTATAACATTTAACAGTTTGCATTCGTTCAGTAGTTCAATTATTTCTTTATCAGCACAACTGGGTTGGGATAAATTCTCAATTCTCTCGGATTTTAAGAGCAATAGAGCTTCTTGTGAAAGAGCAGTACTGCCACCAATCATCCCACTACCTTTATCCACAATCCTTTTATTTAAGACGTTATGTTATTTAAAAGAAAACAATCCTTATGATTTAGACTTTTCTTCAGTATAATAAAATTACAGGTGTTTTTTTCACATTTGTAGAGTTCGATTCCTGGTTCAGACAAGCAATTATTTAAAAATCTTTGACTGCAGTTCGAATTGTTTTTTAAATCAAAATGATGCCTTCTTTAAGTAAAATTATCTATCTACGGTATTTAAAGTACTTCGTTTCCGTGTGACATAGTCGTGAGACACCCTGTATAAATAGCAGTAGAGCTCCTTGTCAAAGAGTTCGACCAGGGAAGTACTGCCATCATACCTATTTCTGTCACCAAGCAGTAATGTGACCATTACTACATTCTGGTTTTGAATGGGAAGGTTGCTGCTGGCATTACATTTACATGGGACTTGTCAGCTTTACGTATGAGGGTAACGGGCGCAGTGGCACCGTCGTTCCTATTTTCAGCGATTTAAAGCTTGGAGTGGCACTACAAGTGTTGTAGACACGAGTATCGCTGACAACCAGGCGCACGATTTGTTAATCCCGTCACCTAATATCATGAAAAAAACTTTCTTGCCATGACCCCAGTTTCGGGCTAAATCTTGGGTTCATGCCGTAATTGTTCGGAGCTTTTTACATAGGGCGCACTATAAGTTTCCGGAACTGGCCACTTACATAAACCATGTTTAAAAAGTATTTACAACATTTGAAAATGGAACTCTTTGGCTGTAGAATACAGTTTGTTTCATCTGACTGTCACTTGTTTTTACATTGTGGCGTCATTTTAGAAATTGATTGTCTACATCACCATGGATGTAACTCGTGAAAATTTTCCTAGTATTTTTTTCTACGACTTTAAGTATAATTTAACAGCTCAGCAGAGCTTCGCTCGACTTCAAATTGCTTTTGGCGATGAAGCGCCATGCAAGACGACTATTTATAGCTGATTTGCAGAATTCAAACGCGGTCGGGTGAATCTCAGTGACGAATTTTTGTGATAGTCGCCCGTCCACTGTTGTGAACAACAAAAACAACGATGCTGTGCGCCGTATGATCAAAACCGACAGGCATGTGACATACCATGAGATTCGGGCATCTTCTTAGGCATGAGTCAAATACCTAAGTCAAATACAATCAATACTACATAAACATTTGGGTGTGAAAAAGCTATGCTCTCGGTGGATCGCACACAATTTGACTGAGGTTCAAAAAACGGATCGTGTCACTTGGTGCAATGCCGTGCTTACTAGATTCAACAAAGGGGTGTCAAATTTAGTGTTGGACATGGTTACGATCCCAAAACAAAGCAGCAATCGAGCGTATGGGTCTTTCAAGATGAGCCGCAACCAACCAAAGTGGCGCCCGTGCAAAGTGCCTCTAAGCGGATGATTGCTTCTTTTTTTAATAAAACTGGACACGTGGCTACTGTTGCTTTGGAGAATCATTGTACCGTGAATAGTGATTAGTACACGACCATTTGTTTGCCGGAAGTTATTGACAAACTCCGTAAAAATAACCGTAAACGCCGTATCATCTTATACCACTATAATACCGGTTCTCCCACGACCAGACAGACAAATGAATTTTTGAAGGTGAACAACGCGACCTTTATGAGCCATCCCGTGTACAGTCCCGACCTGGCACTTGTGACTTTTATTTATTCCCAAAAATTAAGAACTAATTACGCGGTTAACGATTTTATGAAAAATATGTTTCAGAGATGGTCACGAAGGAGTGGCATAAATGTTTTCAAAATTGGTTCATTCGTATGAAAAAGTGCATTAACGCTAACGGAGAATATTTTGAGAAACAATAAATTCATTTCTAACCATTTATAGTATTTTTTTCTTATTCATTCCGGAAACTTATAGTGCGCCACACGTACAGCACGCAATTCTTAACTCCCTGAATTCTTTATGTCTATTTCCTTGTGGTCTTGTGCCTTTTGCATTGGTTTCTAGGTTCACAAGTTCAATAGTCCTGGCTCAACGAGAATCAGACTGAACGATAATGAACTGAGATTATTTCTTTTAAATTTCAGAGTGAATCCTGTGATTCTGGCGAATGGGGTTGGGCGGGATTGGAGGAAGCCGGTGGGGGAGGGCCCAAGGTCCCTGCGCTGGTCTCCGCCTGTCTTGCGCACCTGCGCCGGCACGGCCTCCACACGCTCGGATTGTTCCGAGTATCAGCCTCAAAGAAGAGGGTTAGGCAGGTGAGGTGGATTAGTTCCCCAGCTTGAAACATATGGAAAAACAGTTGCCAAATTTTAAAAAGTAAAAAAGTCCTGTTACAATGTTGGGCACAAATATCCTGTAAATACAGCGTGTCAGATCATTCTGCACTACATAAGCAATACAGTTGGTAAGGACAGACCAAAGAATCCATCTCAAGTAAAAGATACAATATTAGAATGTATAAAATTAGCAAACGCAAGGATCTTGTTTACCTGCCAATGAGCGTTTCACGTCAATGCGTAACAATGTTGCTATGTGGCTCCGTGGCTGTAGTGGCCGTAACAACAATCAATGACCAGTTTACCGACACACATCAACACACGGCCACGGCTGCGAATGGTATAAGGGCTATCACGGTTAATATCACCTTACGCTCTTTGAAGGCTAACAATTTACATCCCGACACCATTTGATACCAGCTAGTTGTTACTGTGGACAAATTCCTTGACTTATGATAATTACTAAAATCAAATAGTTTTTTGATGTTTTGCTACAGACGGATATTTCGATTGCAATCACTAGTTGATTAAGAAACTTATAAAAATATTTAATTTCCCCATAACTTGCGAACTCAGACCCTTTAAATTTGAGGCGATGTTACCCAGATGCCGAAACATTGTAGTACGCAAGTGGTAACCCTAAAACAGCCATCGACCGAATTAGATGTTTTGCCTGCGCACGCGTCAAATGCTGACCCACTTGCTCTGTTTATTACAAACTGAACACTTTGTAGATGAAAGGTGATCCAAAGTTTGTAAGGTGAAAATAACGGGGTTAACAACAGTATTATGAAATACAGATTATGGAATACATTATAATGCCCTGAAATTAATTAGCGTCAGTGCCGGGTTAACAGATAAACAAAGTAAGCAATTATTACGAGGGGGCACCAAGTCCATAGCTTTAATATTGGATAATTGGAGGGCCCCATAACATTTAGATTACTTAAGACACCCAAGGTACTTTATCTGACACTGCACATATACAGGCGTTGTAAGGAATGAATTTTTTTGGTGTTCTTTGAAACATGCGATCACATCAATCTCTATTCACTTCCAGTTGACAGTCTTGCCAAGTTTAAAACCTGCAATTTAATACACAAGGAGAGGCTGTTACGAAACTTCTGGATATTTGAACGCAATAACTTGGGCCTTTTCAAGGCAAGAGTCAACCTTATTGTCATTTTCCATCAAGTGAGTTGGATGTCAAATGCGAACTTATTCTATCATAAAAAACCCTTTCTGTAACATCCACGGGAAGATAACAAGATCCCCATAACCGAAAACGTTCTGATCTATTTTCCAGTTAAGAGAAGATTGGGAGCGAGGACAGGAGGCGGCGTTAGACACGGCAGAGTCGCCTCACGACGTCGCAACGTTGTTAAAGGAGTTTTTGAGAGACCTGCCTGATCCATTGCTCTGCAGGGACCTGTACCAGGCTTTCTTGCAGACGCAAAGTTAGTACAATCAATATATCAAGTATCAAAGGTATATAAGAATAATAAATGACCCCGACACGATGTAAAACCATGCGTTGCGGAAGCTGTGATTTAGTAGTACCAGAGCTCCTTATGAAAGGGTCGTTCAGGGAAGTATACTGCAACCTTACCTATTTCTGCCGCCAAGCAGTAATGTCAACATTACTGTGTTCCGGTTTTGAAGGGTAAAGGTGCTGGTGAAATTACAGGCACATGAGACTTGTCAACTTATGTCTCAGGTGTCGAACGCAGTGGCAGTGCCCCTAAGATCTTTGTGATTTAAAGCTCTGAGTAGCTCTGCAGCTAAAACTAAAATATAATAATATTTTTTATATTTTTTCTTTAAGAAATGGCTAATTAAAATACAATGAAAGGTTCTGTATAAAACATGTCTCATGTCTATAAATATATAAACGACTTAATATAAAAAATATATTTTAACTATTGTTTAACAAAAAAACTTAGGAAATTTGTAAACTCATTGGTGAATTTCTAAATTGGATGCTTGTGTCTTGCTTAAAATTTGAGCGTCCGTTCGTTTGTCCCCGGTTTTTATGCTCCCGTGGCGTATGCCCCTGGTTTTAATAAAATTTGGATCCATTTTTTATTAGATATCTAGTCTACTTGCATAAAGTACTATTCACCAATTAAAAGGTTTCTGATATTAATAATTGAAGAATATAAAAAAAAAACATTTAAATTATTGCGTTTTTGACAAAAATTCGTCCATTTGTTAAGCAAAGAGTGTGATTATATTAGGTACTTTAAGCGAAAAGAAGACGATTTTGCATGTTGCATGAAAAGTAATTTTTTCTCTTATTACGTAATAATGATGGAATTTTGCATATGTGTCTTATACTTTTTTTTTAATTTTCTTAATACTGATATTTATATCCTTAAGTATTTTTGTTTAAATTGTTATATTTACATTAGTTGATAATAAATGTATATACATTTTTTATTTTATTTATTAAGGAATGACAAACAATTGTACATTGTGAGTTGTACAGAATAAGAATACCGGTTTAGCTAATTGTACAATCAACCACATCATCAAATCAAAATCATCGAAAAAATATAAAATTTTCAATTGAAGCATAATCACTAGTGTATTTTTTTAAAAGTACAATGCTGACAAAGAAAATAAGTTTAAGAAACAAACTAACTTAATAACATTACTAAGTACAATTAACAAAAATGAAAAATATAACCGAGAAGCACAGGGCATTCGTTACCTCACTGCAATCAAACACACTATGACACATTCCATGTAAGGTCATTGCTTGAAGGAGAATACGCCTTGAAAGAACTTCAACAGTTCGTGGTAAGATTTATTACATGTCCTATACAGTTTAAAACGTTGATATTTGCGCTGAATTCGTTCAATATATTCTCTATATTTCTTATAAAATGGATCCCAGATAGAGCAAGCATATTCAGTTGTGATCGGATCAGATATTTATATAAGTAGAAAAATGTAGAGGATTGAGGGAAATCAGTACCCAGCTCTAGTAACAAATTTATACATACAAAAAGCTTTGCTACTAATTGATTATATGTGACAATCAAGGTGCAATTTACTGTCAAGAATAAGTCCAAGATCACGCAAGAGAGGTTAGTACATTTAAAACATGATCACAGAGAGTATATCTATAAGTAATTATAATATTTTTATAATATTTTTATTATTGGTGAACGTAATTACATTACATTTTGGAATGCTTAGCTGCAGTTTATTATTTTTAAAGTGCAAACCCAACCGAAGAATATCTTTCTGGAACGTCTTGCAATCATTTAACGTCATAATGGGTCTATAAATCTTTAGATCATCTGCATATAACAGAAATTTGGTATTGATAAAACAAGCATTAATGTCGTCAATAAATATTACAAATAGCAATGGTCCAAAGATAGAGCCCTGAGGAACACCGGACGTAACCTCAATGGTACTTGACAGAAAACCATGAATTACAGCTCTCTGTATCCTGTTATATACATAAGAGGCGAACCAATGCAATAGATTACCTCTTATACCATTGAATGCCATTTTATTCAGTAATATTTCGTGATCCACCTTGTCAAAAACCTTTCGAAAATCCGTGTAAACAGTATCTACTTGAATACGTTTATCCATACTCTCAAATAAGAAACTTGTAAATAATAGTAAATTTGTTATTGTGGACCTACCCCTGACAAAGCCAGTTGTTCATGTATGATTGGATTTTATATATTACTATAAACTTCATCATGAACCAATTTTTCGAGAACTTTGGACAGGGTACACAAGATGGATATTATCTACCATTTATCGTACCTACTTAACCGAAATCGGGGGCATACACCACGGGGGCATAACAAACTGGTGGCATAAGGAATGGATACAAATTTGAATGCGATGGTTTTATTTTAATGCACTTACACTGGGCGTTTACGTGATCGTAGGAATTATATTGATTGGTTATTTGGTTTTTGGTTATTCCGAATTACTTCACACATTATGTACATTGTGATGTACATAGGGAAGGTTATCAAAATATGTTTTCTAAAATGTTTTTTATCTTTACAGAAATACGCAATCGGCGGTTACAATGGGAAGCGTTAAAACTAATAGTTCAACTCCTGCCATCCGCCCATAGAGACACGCTGAACGCACTGCTCTCGTTCCTTGCGGAGTTAGCAGCTAATGCGGAAGACGATTCCGAGCCAGGCAACAAAATGGACGCTGCGAACCTTGCGACGGTGTTTGCACCTAATATTTTGCATAGAAATAAGCCTAATGAAGCTGCCAGGTTAGTATTCTATTTGTATTTTATTGGTTCTCTATTTGTATTTTAAGCGACACGTTCATTCAGTTGCAGTGCCATTCAGAAGTTTAAATGGCAAAGATCTGGTGGGTACTGCCACTGCACCCGCCATCTTGAAACAAAAAGTTGACAAGTCCAATGTATCTATCTATAGGCACTCTTACTTTTCAAAACCGGAACACAAAATGCTTTCAATTGCTTGGCGGCAGAATAGGTTTGGCGTTTGTCGAGTGATCTACAAATTGTGTCGTAATTAATAATTTCATTGTGTCTGCAATGAATTTGTTTAAAATGTCTATTTTTGTGGTATTTAATCCAGTAATACAGAACATTGAATAATGTCTCACTTACAATTGTCATTTCTAATTAATATAAATATAAATGTAATGTAATAATAATGTGTAACAGTCATTATAAAAACAATAATATAATTAATTATCTATATTAGCTAACCACGTCCAAACTTGCAATGTACCTATTTAAATTTTCTCGACAGTGTTACTTTGCTACGCCCTTATAGGGTATCACATGTATGTACCAAAAATTGTTGTAAATTTAATCTTTATCATCATTGACTTACAAATAAATGGACGACGGGTCTAATACAAAAACCACGAAAAAAATATCCCAAGTCAACCTATTTAAACGTAGTGACATGTAAAGGAATATGAAAAAGCTAAAACGTTGAATTTAAATTGTAATGTCATCGCAGTACTGTCTAATTTTGCTTGCTTCGCTGTCAGTCGAACAAACGAGGACTAAAGCGTGAATGACGCTCTGTATACGATTTTAACGCCCTATAAGTTCGGACACTTTTTAGCGCGGACCCGACGTCCATATAATTGTAAGTCAATGTTTATCATTCATGTAAAATAAATGAATATGGGTTTAATAATTGTAATTTTTGAACGGATTTCAAAAAAGGACTCTCACTTCGTCTGATTTTTTCTGTGTGTGTATATTACGATCACTCCAGCATTTGTGAACCGATATTGATGATTCATTTGTAGTTGGAAAGAGGGTACGTCATTAATGGTCCCATTTAAATTTGAAGAAAATATTCCGCCTGTAAGGGTGGCAAACTAGGGGATGAATCCGGTTTCACGCCCTTTCCAGTAACTTATTTCAATAAAACTTGGCAAATAGATGTAAATTACCAAACTTTTGAGATCGTTTTTTTTTCTATAAGTTAGAATTAACTTTAGAAATTTCAACTTAACTTTCAGTGCAGAGCAGCTATCGGAGCGAGCAGACGTGATCAACGTAGTCCGGATGCTAGTCGAACGGCAAGGCGAGCTGTGGACGCTGCCGGCGGAGTTACTGCACGAGGCGTACATCCACCTTGCGCACACGCAGCCCGCACACCTCGACACACTGTTGCCCAGGCGAGCTGAGTTAGTTTAGCTGTTCGCTTATCATAGTAATTAATTTGCTGAGGATGCCATTTTGTTCTAACACTAGTCTAACACGTCGCCTTTGCGAAGTGGTAAACTACAAACTTAACATTCACATTGATCTCTAGACGACAGCGTTGATGTAGTAACAGTATGTTTAAAGATAATCACAATCGTTAACTCATTACACGTGCCACAGCTGGGCACGGGTCTCATTTAAACCATCCCCGGTTTAGGTCATACTCCGCCACGTTGCATCAATGCGAGTTTAAACATGAGTATTTGATATTATAACAGGGTTACTTTTGAAATACTAACAACCTTGCAGGACTATATTACTAACATCATAAACAACAACTTGTTTCATTAATTTTAATGATTCAACATATTTCACTTTCATACAAAAATAAATAGATTTAAATAGATCTCTCTAAACGGTAATAACTGTGCAGAACGGGGATGGGTCGTTACGAAGGACGCTTGCGCTTTTGAACTTATTCTACCAGATACCGATCTAAAAAGTGTCAGATGGTACAGGTTCAAGAGCACGTCAAGTTTGACACTTAAGATTTAAATCCAACTTTATGCCGATAAGAACGGTTCAAAGCACAAAGTTAAATACATTCTTGCGACTTAACAAGAGAAGTTGGCCAAATTCAAAATTTGTTCACTACGGACCCGACTTAAAATACAAGATATTGTAGTTTTGCATGGGCTCATACACGGTAGCCTTGTTTCTCCTGGTCTGCTATCTCACATTAACTTTAACATTAAACCAAATATTCGTCGTCCTAAAACCTTTGTGTTAAATGTTTACCGAAACAATACTTCCTTTTAGAACCCCGTGACTAGAATGCGTCGAACCTACAATGATTTACTCATATCAGAATCTGGAGGTCACATTGATGTTTTCGACAACAATCTTTGTCGAATTCGTACCAATCTCCTCAAATATTTCAACTCGTTTTGTTATTAGTATTGCCAAATTAATATCTATGTTAGTCTTTAGTTGCATTCGTTTTAAGTTGTAAACTCACTTTCCCACTTTTTCTTACTATTTCCTTTTTTTTGTAATCCTTATGCCAATATGTTTATACTTCGCATAATAACGCTGTTTGAATAAATAAAATAAATATTAAATTAATTACATAACTATGTCAATCCGCAACGTAGGCTTCGTCGGGAAGACACAAATATAAATCGGCAACAGGCTTCGAGACAAAGAAATTAATAATCCAATTCGCTAGACTTAGTCATTTCAATTTAACTATAATAATGAAACAGGACCGCTCTGAATCTTAGCTGGCTCAAATGTCTCCATAACACTGGCAGCATTACCGCGCTGAATAGCCAACGAAATTTGTTACACCAAGTAAGATCCAGAGCGTGGATCATAGCCTCTTTCTCTAAGCCGACGACCCAACTCCCTGATGAATTCTTTGGCCTCCGCACCCCAAGTCCCCGCAGTCTCCACTGCAATTGGCACAAAATCTTACTTCGGCTCCAAGGCACAGTACTTGGCATGTTTCAATTTTGCCGCATACTCTGCAGCTGACCCGGCAGATCTGGTGGTGTGAGTCAGGTGGGACGGTGCAAACGTACTGACACACGTAGCGTCCCATAAAAGGCACCGGCCCTTCTGCTATGGAACCCGTGTAAGGCGGTCAGGTCTCTTGCCATCTGTATGACACAGCCCCGGAGGCTCTAAGACACTGGCCACGTTAGCCAATACTAAATCCCGGCGAACTAAATCATTTATTGTATGATGTTTTGAAAACCTCCCCGCGCACTTCTGACAACTAAGGCCGTGGTGACCGTTTTCCTCAACCATGACCCCACAAATGCAATGATGCGGTTCACAAACCTTACATTTCAACCGCAAAGCAAGGGTGATTCTCAACGAATCATTATCTAGCAGAGTGCCTAATTGGGGAGGAGGCAATGCCTGCAGCCACGCTCCTGATTCAGGCTTATTGCGGCCCGTAGAGGCGCCACGTTAACATCCAATGTCTTGTCCAATAATGATGAACTCACCTTTCCACACAAAATGTCGTCCCATTCCTGTAAACTATACTATAGACTATAAATTGTATCTCAACATGTTTCACTGAATGTAAACTGTTTTGTACATCTAATAAAAATAAAATAAAAAGTGTCAAGGTAGTCGTGCTTTTAACTGTACAAAAAATTATAAAGTTTTTTTTTTTAATTTATTATGTTTTGTCAAAAGTCATGGAACTAAAGTTGTTGTTTATGATGTTAGTAATATATTCCTGAAAGGTTGGTGGTATTTTGAAAACAACCCTTTATTAACCTATTTTTGTAGGGCTAATACGATAGGGCGTTACTTGCGCGAGAGCGACATATTCTTATCACGCTTTATGTCGCTATCACGCTTTATGTCGCTCTCGCGCAAACCGAGCCCAGTCGCGCTAGTCCCATATGCGTCAAATACGACTGTACTTCTTGCAGTGATTGTCTAGTTGGAAAAGTACTTGCCTTCTATGCAGTCCTGGGATAATTTTTCACTGGGAAGTTTGCACAACCTCCTGACTGCTTTCAAATTATTACTCACTTCAAAAGACTACATATTTCCAAGCAATGTCTGTGTCAGCGTGATTGACTATAGCCAACGAAGCGAACCAAAATAAAGAATGTGTTCAACGGTGGGACGTACTAAGCGTAAGAAACGGCGTGCAGGTGCGCAGCGACTGAGGCAGCGAACGCGGGCGGAGAGGCGGGCCGGCGCGTGTGGGCGCGGGAGCAGTTCCTGCACGGAGCCACCGCCACTGGGCCCACAGCGCTCTCGCACAGGTGAGTCCTGCTTACGTCGTCGCAAAACGTTTTCTGTTGTAAAAAAAGTCGTAGAAGAGTGCCACAAGGTGCGGTACTAGGACCTAACCGTTTAGGTTGAAAGCCTGGCTGAACGACTAGAGCACAGAACAACAAATGCAGTAAAAGTGCTTAGTGAGCGTGGTACGTGTGCCAAGTATGAGGAACAGCACGCGGAGTTCCATAGGTATATTTGAGCTCAGTCCGCGATTTTCGCTTTGTACGTTTATGGTCGTATCAATTATCATACTAAGTACCTGTAATATTATTTAATTTTAATAAATTTTCAATTTTCTGTTTATTGTAATAGTTTTTTTTTTACAAGAAACGAAGTGAACCTTATACCAGTACCATAATAATATGGTCGCTTCTTTTTTGAAGAACTAAGTAAACATTTCGAATTGGTTTATGTTCAGCTATTGTATATGTAAAATCAAAACGTCGTAACTTGCTGTAACAGGTATTGATCTTACAGTTCAGGATTTGTTACATCTTTTTAAATTAGAATCTTCAACCAATCATTCATCAAGTGTAATTTGCAATTTGACTTTGAAAAAAAGATTTCATAATGTTTAACTTAGGGTTGTGGGAGTTTTGGCGACAGAGCGGTTTTGAAAGTAATTGAGGTTTATGACACTTCCATTGATTTTTTTTCTTCCGTGGACTAGAATGAAACGTAATAATTTCAAATTTGTGAACTACGGTATGGGTAAGACTATTAAAATCCTAATAGATAATCATAGATAATGAAAAAAGTTTTGCTAATGTTTTTGCAGCAGTAGTGCTGAGAAGACGTACTCTAGAACCAGACGGACGAGGGAAACTGCCTCGGACACCTCCTCGGGATCGCTCTCCTCCGCTATGACCATTGTCACTAGGTGAGTTGCATATAAGCAATTAACGCTATCAAAAATAACACTTCGGCTTTGATATCGTCGTACCAATTCATCTGTGGTCTTCCTCTTGGTCTCCATTTTATCACTGTCTTGCACATGCCTTGCTTGCGGGCGACATGGCCAGCCCACTCCCACTTCAATTTCGCAACCCGTTTAGTAACATCGCTCACTTTACTTTGCCCTCTGGCCCATTTGTTTCGCAGCGTAATCTTCTAACAGTTTTCTTTTTGATTCTGATTATTCGCTTGAGTCGCAACTATGCTAGTAGATATATTGCGTTATTTTATCAACACATAAAAGTAGCGTTCTTAAAGTGTGTCTCCCACTGAGCAGCCGAGTGCGAAGCAGTGAGGAGTGCGGCAGCAGCGGCGTGGTGTGCACCCCGCCTACACCAGCCTCGGTCGCCCGCACGGACTCCGCGCCGGACTCTAACGACTCCGCCAGCGATTACAACGAGGTAACGTAACCTCGTGATCTTACATGAGCAACAACAACAAACACCTGAGCATTTCATAGCGAACTGTCTCTGACTAGTGGCAGAAGAGTTGAAGTAGTGTGGTGTGAACTAAAGAAATAAGACAAAACCTCATAAACTTTCAGCTGAACCCTGGGAAATGCTATCCGTAATGTTGAGTATTTAAAGGCATCTTAAATCATTACTTGCATTTAAACTAGAAATAAAAACCTTTAGTACTAGTAGGGCTTCTTGTGAAAGAGTTCGTCCAAGGAAATACTGCCACCTTACCTATTTCTGCCGCCAAGCTATAATGTGACTATTATTGCGTTCCGGTTTTGAAAGGTATAAGGGTGAAATTACAGGCACATGGGACTTGTCAATTTATGTCTCAAGGTTATGGGCGCAGTGGCAGTGCCCCTAAGATCTTTGCGATTTAAAGCGCTTACAACCAGGCCCACGACTTGTTTGTCTCGTCACATGGTATTATAAAAAAAAACGTGCATTTCGAATTTCCAGACCTTGGGCGGCTCAGATGACGACAGCAGTCACGTCATCACAGCATCCCTTCACATCCCAGCTGCGTTCTCACAACAGTCCCCACGAGGTCGGCCTTCCGCCCCCCCTCGCCGCCGTTCCACATCAGGTTCCGAGTCTTCAGCGAAGAGAGACTCCGCCGTTGGTTCATCGTCCCCTGCATCCGCGTCCAACGCTTCCTCACCCCCAGCGTCGCCACCACCAGCGCCCTTACGGGTGACCTTGACGTCGGCCGGAGAGATCAGAAGAACGCCAGGACCGCCTGACATTGATCGGTTGATTTCGCTTGGAAGGTGAGATATTCAAAATTAACTTACTGCGATTAGATTGCGCAATTGTCGAACTTATTTGTTTGTATTACGAATGTTAATAGTTGTCTTTAATACAGAGCCACTAGCTCTGGATCGTGCAGAAACAGGCGCGTTGGATTGAGGATGTAGAGTGTGGCTAACCTAATCAAATTTGAAATTTCTATAACTAACTTAGATTTTTGTAGTTTCAGAGTATTTCTTGACCTACTTTGAGTTAAAGAATATTATCTCAGAACTTCAGTTACACACTTAGAGACCTGGTATAAAAAAATCGAGTGGACATAACAAATGAATAAATTATTTCTTTAGCAGAGAACGCAACACATCCGATGCTAGAGCAGTGGTCCTGCGGCAACATGACGAGAACACAATCAGAAATACCCGAATGTCATCACGGCAGGAGCAGATGCGGAGAGAAGATAGGAGAGACGAAAGGAGAGAGAAAGAAGGCACCACGCTGTACAAGAGAGAAGAATTGATCTCCAGCGCGCGGTCGCCCACTACATGACAGATTATATACGTGTTTTTATACATAAACGTCTATTTATCATTTTACATGTTTTATTAACTAACTTCAAAAAAGGAGGAGTTTCTTATTTTCTGTGTATGTTATGCAATCACTCCGACTTTTGTGGACCGATATCTATGATTCTTTTTTGTTGGAGAGGGAGGACCTCAATAATGGTTCAATTCAAATTCAAAGATAATATACCTCTAAGGGTGGTGAATTAGGGGATGAATCCGGTTCATTGAATTTCACCCACTTTTGTTAACCGATTTCAATAAAACTTGGTACATTCCAATTGGCTAATTCCAATGAAAATAAAATATTGTGGTAAACTACACCTGATCTGATAACGGAAATGGCAGAGAGATGAGAGGATGAGAGTTTCGTTTTGGCAAGGACTTGGAGACCGGGGTAACGACACAGCGAAAGCGGATAAGATTATGAGGGTAACCTATTACAAACTAGAAAAAATTTTGTCCGAAGTAACGTTTGTTCGAAAAACGCTTATCGCAAAGACACGATTAGGTTCGGTTAGGTTAGATTAAGTTAGGTTTAAAAGAAAAAACATTTTCCTCTCAAAATTACTTTCGAGATTATGAAATTTCGACCAAACGTTATTTCTGGAAAATGTCATGTCGGATTACTGATAGGTAACCATGTTACGCGATAACTAGTATAATACGCGATAATTTGTGTTCTGATTTTGATGATTCTGGTGGAAAGGTGGATTTTTGGTGGAAAGAGGGTACGTCAGTAGTTGTCCCATTTAAATTTGCAGAAAATATTCCGCCTTTAAGGGTGGCAAACTAGGGGATGAATGACTTTAGAGATCGGTTTTTCAGTACTCTTTACTGAGATTATTTTATATAATTGTTTGTAAAGAATACACATTGAATATGGGTTCTAGTAGTTCCTGAGTTTTGACATGTCTTTCGAAAGCTTTAGGATCCTGGGCGAAATAAAGTTGTTGTTTGCCTTATGGAATAAAAACGGCCAGCAGCTTGATTTTGATTGCCTCTCCCGATCGGAAACTGCGTCTTTTCCGAGTCGAGGCGCATAATTGCGATTCGTAACAGGCCGATCGGAAACTTTTGACATTTCTAATCGGAACCGTGGTTGATTTAACTCATAAATTAGAAAGATATAGTAAGAATCTAGTTCATCTTCTTGCTCGGAAACCCGTCTGATTTCGAGACTACCCGATCAGTTCGATTCCGGTTTGAATCAAAATCAGGGCCCTGATTTTTAATTAGGAATCGGGTAGCCCACCCGCATATTATATCCCTCGACTCGGAAAAGATGCAGTTTCCTATCGCGAGAGGCAATCCAAATCTGGGCCCAGGACGCTCGCTGGTCAGGTCATAACTTTACGTGTTACGTGTGCTGCCATCTTTGTAGTCTATTTGTATATTATTCTAGGTGTAAAAAGAATCCAAAATTGAAATCTCAGGCTAAAACAGCCGCATTTATTCCATGATTGTATGCCTTTATTTATCTCTCCTGTGCAGTTTATCGCGCATGATGATAGCACCCAATTTGGACACGCCGTCTTGGTACTCTGTCTTGCCCAGCGGTGGGACTGCGGACGACGTTTCTGTGGGCATACAAAATAATTTCAATTAAAGAGATAAAGTAATTTAATCAAAGTTTATTTACATTTGATCGAAGTAATTGTCTTCACTGCGCTTCATAGTGAATGTAGGTAAGTCGGAAGAGAAAAATATAACCTCAGATCCTATCACTTAACAGCTTCTCTGTGTAAGTAAAAATCAGAAATTAACCTCTCACCGGCAAGTTATATATATAATATATATATAAACTCACTCACTGGGCTTTGTGCTCCGCAACGTCAAAGACTTTCAAGATTTTGGTGCTATACGAATGGTCTATAATGCTTTAGTGAGAAGCAAACTTGAGACGTCATCGCTTATATGGCACCCGCATGAAGCTACGTATACATCTTTGATAGAAAAAGTTCAAAAAGCTTTCCTTACATTTTCCTACAAAAAAATGTACGGCTATTATCAGTTTCTGTATCCGACAAAGTATTTACTGGGGACTCTTCAGTATAATTCCCTTGAGGTGAGGCGGAACAACAACCTGCTGGTATCTGTTTCTCAGGTATTACGCGGCGAGTCGGACTGTCCTGAGCTAGTGGGACAGCTTGTAAGGCTCTTTGTCCCAGACATTCCTAAACTAGTTTTAAGAGCGCGACGTCGTGAACTATTCACAGTCCCACCGGTGCGTACCGTATCGCGCAGGAACTCACCACAGCTCCGTGCCCTCGCAATGCTCAATCAACTCTTGGCATCAGCACCGGAGTGTGATCTGTTTGCATGGCGATGGGCGGCTGTGTGTTGTGAATGCCTGAGATTTTGTGAAGCGATGGATGATAGTGAGTCAAGTATAGTGCTATAGTTTAATTTATTATTTCCAGTCTTTGGTTGTTTTTTTTTTCATTTTTATTGTTATTTTTTAATTAGTTTGGTTTCACGGCGCATTGGTTATGGAACTGTAATGCCGTGTAAACATATTTACAATAAAAATATATATATATATATATATATATATATAATATACATATATGTATGTATTATTATTGTCACAATTTTCGTAGTCTATACGTGTATACGGTGTTTTTATTTTAAATGGGCCCGTATGGGAAAATTCGAAACTATAGGAGATACTGGGGAATTGTATCAGACTCTCTTTTTTATGTAAACTATTTTGGCATAGTACATTTTTTGGTCAAGCTTGAGTTACATTTAAAAATGAATAAAATTGAGTAATAATTGTAATTAGAAAGATTGAACACTTAGAAAAAAATGCTTCGATCCGGCCGATTGTTAATACAAACGTCTACTAAGCCATGGAACGAACCAGCGGACCTCACGAATTTTTCTATGTGCTTGTTGTCGTATCTTTGTATTTGGTTTTTCAACGACTTTTTAGCCGTAGCGCCATCTATGAGAAACCTATGAAAGTGTTTCGTCTTTTTTGATTTCATGTGGTAAAATCCTACCATTCAATAGAAACTAAATTAGAATTGAGTAATTTTTTTAGTGCTGATCGACTTAGTTTCACATAAGAATCATTTCATTGTAATAACCAATAAATTTAATGCACTCACATATCTTTTACCTCAAAGTGCTGTAGCAAATGTGGCGCATGCGACGGTCTATAGGAATTGGAGGCATTTTGACAAAATTTTGACGTATATAAAGACTTTAGTAGATAGTGTGTCCTCATAACCCGATCAATCAAATGATCTGGTCACCGAAGAATGCGTGATTAATTGGCCAATAGCATTGTGTGCCAGGAGATAACATCTGGACGCGATGACAGACGAGTTGTGCTTGCCAACAGATTGAGCGAGATCATTGCATGCCAACTAATTTATGAGTCAGTGGTATTTGGATGTACATTTTTTTTTATTTTTTTTATGATGGTAGAACTGATTAAAATATTATTGTAACACTTGGTATTTGTCATATATGATGAGGATTGCCAACTGAGTGTTTAATTTTATAACTGCCTCCGTGGCCGAACGGTTACCATGCCGGACTGCCACGCAGAGGTCCCAGGTTCGATTCCCGGGCCGGGAGAAATGTTTGTATGGCCTACATTTATTTCTCTCGAGAGTTTGGGTGTAATTTGTGGTTGTTTATATGTGTGTCCATGGCACCCGCGACACAGGGTTTCCCTAGTACGGGGCTATGTTGAGTGTGTGCGTTATTATTATTATTATTATTATATAATTCTTTTTTATATATCCACGGCCTTATTCATTCCCAAACCCACAAATTTTAATACGATTTTAGGGCACGTTCCTTTGTAATTATATAACCAGCAATTACATAAGATTATAATTTGTTTGTCCTAACTAAGATACTTACTAACATTTGTCTATATATCGTATAAGAGAACTAACATAGTTGTCGCGTCTAGTCTGCATGGGTAACCAGCGTCCAGCCTCCATGGATGACCAGACTGACTGGCCACAAAGACAGACTTACGAGACTGACAGGAATTCGAAATTAGACCGACTTTCTTTTGGACAAAAGACGACGACCGACCTTCCTTTCTTTGACAAAGGACGACGAGGGCAGTCCTGACTAAACCTCTGACGCGAGTAGACGACTTCTCCTAACTAAATTGTACAGACAGACCGTACAATAGTATTATCTGAAAATGGCTTCAAGTTATATTAATATTACCTATTTAGTTTCAAAGCGACAGTGTTGTCCTGTCAATTTGAAATTAAATCGTATATGAATGACACATCAATATGGCGAAATTTTGGAAATAAATGATTAATACAACGCAATTTTGTGATAAAATATAATACGAGTATAACGCAATTTTTGAGATATATCATTGTAATACTCGCCCATATCAAAAGAATTTTGCATAAAGCATCTTTTAATTTGGTAAAGTATTACTTACTTGACAGTATTTGTATCGAACAGATATGGAACCGCGAGAAAATTATGGAATGGAATGGCACCTGTGGCAGCCACCAAGGACTCGACCTGTGCTGGTCACAATAAGCTTTATTCAGATGTAATAAGAGCGAAAATGACGTTGTGCGTTTGGCGTCTTTGGTCCGAGCGACAACGAAGCAAGACATAAACCATTTTCTGATTGACTTAATGCGATTCCATGTCGATAAGTGTACTTCCTATTAAAACCAAGTCTAAAGACGTCAGCTTGTGGTTTCCTGTAGTCCCTATTTAACATTAAAAATTTTATGAGCTTACCGCATTTGGCCCTCGGATCACTGGCGGCTCCGGCGCCGCCGCCCTTTGATATGGTCTTCGGTGTGGAGAACCGTTGCTTGGGGTTCACCCTGCAGGGATCACCGGGCAGCCGCATAGGCTGCGCGCAAGGCCCCGTGCCGCTCTCATCCGATGCGCGTTGGAGACCCTCGAACTTTGCCCCTGGACCTGTTAATTTCATAAGATAGTATTTTTTTATAATATCAAGTGAGGAGAAGAACAAGTCGTGCGCCTGATGGGCACCCTGAGACAAAGTCAATTGACAAGTCCCATGTGCCTGTAATTTCACCAGCACCCTTACCCTTCAAAATCGGAGTACTTTCCTGGACGAACAGTTTCAAAAGGAGCTCTTTTGCTACGAATGGGTGTGGTAAAAATACACTGTCATCAAGGCGATAACCCATGGGGGTTGAATACTAATAATTCATGATATTAATCCATTTTTTTAGAAATGACTCCACTATCCGTTATAATAATTAATATGAACATCGAACGCAGCAAAATTCCTTCGATCGGACAGGACGCGAAACTGAGATGGTCACTAGGGGTGGGCATTAACGTAATTGATATTGTCTAGATAAGAGCCCTGAATATCAAATAAATATGTGGATTGGTTCCAGTTTTTGCTGCCTCCTACAAAATTAAGAAACATTATTAGGTATACCATCGTTCGGTACGTCAAAATTAAGTTTCTCGGTACTTGAACCCCGAAATAAGCTTACGATTTAAATTAAACTGGTTTAGGACATTCATAGTAAATATTGTTACCCGACTCGCAGTAATCCTTTTGGTAAGTAGTCTTGTTCCTGTCTCTGTCAATCCGTTGCTTCAGCTCTGGTGACGCTTCGCTCTGCAGAATGCTGTACAGCATTGGGTACTTTGATTGAAGCTGCAATCATAACACCTCAATAATGCACATTATTTTGTTTTGTTAATTGTAAATTTAAAAGCGAAATGAAAAAAACATTAAATAAATAAATTAGGTAATTCATTAAAAACGTGCATCGCATTTGGATCGCATTTGTATCGCGTTTGCATCGCTTACTTTACGTCGTAGTTTCTGTGAATATATCTGTGCCTCGTATTTAACAATAAATACCCACAGTGCCCCACTGACTCATTTATTTTATTTACCTCAGTTCAAAGAGGTATATGCCGGTCACATGGATATGAATTGCTAACTTCCGTATTAATTAAGATTGAGGTACATGACAATCAGAAGGCGATAAGTCGGGCGAATACAGTAGATGAGGTAACACATTCCAACCTAATTGTAATAGTTTTTGACGGCTTTGTAAAGATTTATAATAGTTATTCTCAAATAAGTAATACTCGACCAAATTAAATAAAGCATGATGACAATGATGCTTCATACTTAACATTGTGTTTTGATTTGGTTGAGTACTACTTATTTGATAGTAATTGTTTCGGTTAAATGTCGAACGGAGAACATGAGTAGTCCGCCAGTTCCGAATCCGAGAAATATCGGTCCGAAATGTCACAGGGATCATTTTATCGCCAGGTGTAAAAGCGATATTCGTGTTTCTCGGATTTGAATCGGACTTAGTGCACAAGCGCCATCCGAAGTGGTACCAAATTTTCTAGATTTGTGTAGTCTCGGTTTCGGAACGAATACTAATAATATGCAGTGATCGCGATTAGGAGTCACCAGGCGTTTATCATAAATTATAAATTTAAAACATTCCCGCCTTTTCATAAACAACCCGCTAATGACGCGCTGGTTCTAATTAGCTAGTTGCAAAACCGGACGAACTTTTTGATTAACCCCTTAATACCAACCCCTCAACCTGAGTGACATATCTACGGCAGAAATTTAAATTTCGTTCTTGCAATGGAAAATATTGCTTACTACAAAATGTCGCTTACGACATTTCAAATTTCCACCATCGATATATGTATAAACTTAGTCTTAATTTTTTTATTTGCTTAGTCAGATAACAAGGATCCACAATTTGTTAGATACATATTTGAAGCTATGTTTCTAGGAGCATTTTATATATAGCCTGCGTTACCTAAATAAGGTAGTACGAAATAAACACTCAAGACACACATATTTCTACTCAACAAAATATTTTATGTACAAACTAACAATAACAAGTAATAGGGTTAACAGCAAATATAGGTCCTTACATTTTAGTCCTTGTTAGTGTTACGCACAACTTGTTAGTTTTTGTAGCTAGACCGTTCTTACCTTGTCCAAGAAAGCATTGGGCTGATCGAAACGCGATGTCGGAGTCTCTGGGGCTGCCCCAACTCGCGCCGGGTATAGTTTCGGGTCCAGCATTGGGCCCATAATCTGCAAACATAAGTTTATTTCTACGGCTATCGAGTTCACAAGATTTTTCCACAAGACTCTTAAATACAGTCGACGCCCCAAGATTCCTGCGTACTGATTTTGATTCAAACCGGAATCGAACCGATCGGGTAATCTCGAAATCAGACGGGTTTCCAAACGAGAAGATGAACCTGATTCCGACTATATCTATCTAATTTGTGAGTTAAATCAACTATTGTTTCGATTTGAAGTGTCAAAAGTTTCCGATTGGCTGTTGTGAATCGCAATTATGCGCCTCGACTCGGAAGAGACACAGTCCCCTTAACAGTTTATTTGATTTTAAGTAGATCGGTTTGTAGACAAATGTAAATGTAAATGTTTTTTATGACATCAAACGACGAGACGTACAAGTCGTCCTGGTGGTAAGCGACACGCCTGTCCATTACAGTTGCAGTGCCACTCAAAGCTTTAAATCGCAAAGATCCGACGGACATTACTAGTGCGCCCATCACCGTGAGACATAAGTTGACAAGTCGCAAGATCCTGTAATTTCACCAGCACCCTTAGCGTTAAATACCGGAACGCAGTAATTCTCACATTACTGCTTGGCGACAGAAATAGGTAAGATGGCAGTTCCCCATACGAAATCTTTCATAAGGAGCTCTATTATTAAGTACCTACTAATGACTTCCTTATAGCATCATTAGCGAATGACGTTTTAAAAAAAAACAGATTAGATACAAATTTAAACCAAAAAGCTGGAATTTCTTTACATTTTTCTGTTGGATGCGTACGAAGTCTCTCAGAACCAAAAGATCAGTCAGGTATCTTAGCGCATCGACTGTACAACCTGAATGCAGTATGACGCCACATATAAGTCCTTCGCCACTTACTGACGTAATGTACCTTAAAAAATTCAAGAAACATTTTTGTACGTCTAAAATGGAATATTGAGAATTAAATTACATTCATGTAATTCGTTAGCAAGTAATTAATGTACCGATATTGTTATTTAAGTTAGATTGCATTAACACAAACCTTAGTGGTTTAAAATGTGACTAATTCCTATTTTGTTAACTGTTTTGTTTTTAAATGGTAATAAATAAAAAAAAAAAAAATAAAAAAAAATATATGGAATGTTTTTTCAGATGAAACAAAATTATATATGACCTGATGTATTTGTCTTGCCATTTTTGACTTTCATCATTCGGAGGCATTGTTACACATTCCGCGGTGTTGGTTTTTTTTAAATTAACCTATTGTGTCCCACTGAGCAAAGGTCTCCCCAAAAAATTCTCCATTGCTCCCTGTCTTTCGCCATCTCCCACCATTCCTTCTCAAATCCATCAAGATCATCCCATACTAACCGAAGTCATTTGACGGTAGGATCTCATCCATAAATGAATTCGCACCCCTGATCCAAGGATCGGTATGACTCCTGTCAATATCACAACAAACACCGGAATTGCCGGGCAATTGGAGTCTCATTTGTTTTATCTTTCCATTTTGGTGAGTATGGACCTGACCAAGCACGCTGGTCCAGTGCGGGTTGGTGGGTGTGCAAGTTAGTTGGCTTGGGTTCCGAGAGATGTTATTTGGACCCCTTAAACCCCGGGTGTACGGGGCGGGGATGGTTAGATGACTTTGTTTGTAATTGAAAGGCATAGACTTAAAGGAATAAATAATATAATTTATTAGTTATTAAATAAGTTTCTTTCAATAGTAAATTAATCAATTGAAATGACGTTGTGTTCCAAACTCGTTAAACCGACCTCGTGCAATCGCAATTACTGACTTCCGTAGGTACGGTCATTGTCCTCTTTTAAAAGATCGAAGTCATCATCAGGATCTCTGTCATCATCTTGAAGCTCCGCTACGTAGTTATAGCTATTGCTTTTGGTGCTTTGTGGCTCCAATGAATTGGTATGGTCTAAAGTCGTCGAGTTATCCTTCTGGTCCTTGATCCGCCTCAAGCATAACATACGCTGAATTTTAGTCTGCAATTTCAACGCAACATTGAGCGGCAGTTTTCGCATTTGAGCTGCAACGTTCAAGCCGAAAAAATAGAACTCATCTTCTAATTTCGAGGACTCATTGTTAGAATGATTGCTATTAAAGACATTTGATTGAATCTTATTGAAGTTTTTATCATCATTTTGCTCTTGAGATAATTTTTCTAACTTCTGTATAGCTCTGGAAATTTGTGAATCACTTTGATACCAACGACATACACGAGGTTGACAAGAAACTTGTTCTTTACTTAGATTCTGTAAAGTTGTTACACTATCGGTCAATGCATTGTGTTTTGAATAGTTATTAGTAGATACTGCTTCAATGCTACCAGATTCAATCGTTTCATTTTGGTCAGGTTCTAGATGATTATTGCTCGATGTTTGATTAGCGCTCTTTTCTTGCGATGTTGACGTAACCTGAGACAATGCAGTTGATTAATATACATTGGAGGATCACTCCTAGATTCCAGACAACATATGAATATATCATCAACATCATCATCATCATCAACAACAACCCATTATAAGTGCCACTGCTGGAATGAAAGTCACAGGTATAAATAGTTTAGATATATAATATTTAGATGCAGATTGAAATAAATACACGGTGTATGTGAAATCGATGTCGAAATTATAGAAGTTTATTTTGTATTTGTAAACAAATGGGTTTTCCTTTTTTTTACAATACCAAGTGACGGAACGAACAAGTCTTGCGATTGGTGGTAAGCGACACGTTTTTTCCATAACAGTTGCAAGATCTGAGAGGCACTGCCACTGCGCTCCTCACCCAGAGACATAAGTTGACAATTCCCATATGCCTATAATTTCACCAGCACCCTTTACCCTTCTGAACCGGAACGCAGTAATGCTTACATTACTGCTAAGCGGCATAAATAGGTAAGGTAGCAGTACTTCCTTGGACGATCTCGCAAAAGGAGCTACTGTTACTTCTACGACTTTTTTTGCGTGTCAATAAGTGTTTTGATAGAAAACCGTATAAGGTTTGAGGATCCTAATAGTAACTATGTTACCCAAACATCATAGAAGTTAAATGACCCCTGCATAAATACACTACACTTGGGACATCACTATAATAATTAATATATTACTTACAAATGATAGGGATATTTTGTTTATAGTTTATAAAATGTAATCGCAATTATTTCATAAAATTAGGATAGTGTCAGTTTCAAAATACGGAAGCACCTGTTGCAAGTACATTTACGCGGTTTTATCCATGATCAAATCTTGGTAATACGTACATTGTTATTAAAATTATACCCTTCATATAGTACTTAATATTTTATAACATTTTTTTGCAGTTTAAATTTTGTCCCTGCGAAGTATGAAAGCATAGACAAAAAACGGCTGGTATTTTTTTATTTGACTTTTGTTGGCCTAGAATAAGTATTTAGACTGAAAAGTATTTTTAAAACACTTTCTTGAAAACACCAGTTGTTTTCCATAATAAGGCTTTACGTTACCTAATGGACACGTAAAGCACGTATCCAAATTTGTTACTCGCACAAAAGCATATCATACACTAGAATTATCTTAGAAGTAGCGCTGAATTATTCGACACGGAGCACGGACACAGAAGAAGCATGAAATATAATGTAAGATTTCTAATTCTTCACGAGCAATGGTGGAGACTTAATACTTAAAATATGTCACCTCATTCCGACTCCATCCCCCCTCTTTCCCCGGCGGCAACTGCACTGCTTCGCCGCCATATTGTGGGCAGCGACAATCTGGAGGCCTGGAGTGCTGCATGCATGCTTGATAGAAAGCTACCTCCTGGCCAGTCAGCTGTGGAACCCTGAGGCGTGTGAGATATTTTTATTCATTATTATATACAAAATTGCCTTTTCAAACCCGAATTTTGAATGTTTCGTTCCGAGTTGAAGCAATGCCGTGCCGGAGTGGAGAGCTATTAAGTGAGTGAAGACCTTTATAAGTACAACTCTGCACTCTAGGCAATTGTTTCATAACGAAACTTAGATAAATACTTACCGAATTATTCTAGTTTTGTAAAATTTCTTCGTCATATTAAGTTGTATAAACGAATGCTAATTTTGTTTGTACGCAGTTTAGTACGTTCATAATCTTTTTGGAATATCTAGGATTAACCAATATTAATTTTAGTAATAATCTACAACACGTACTCCGCTAATTTTCGTTCTCCTTCTGAAGTTCCAGCCCCAGAGTCCGGAAGGTTTGGCCACAGATAGTCCTTCCTATATGTCGTTAGATAATGATCCATGTTTGTTTATACTTTCTATTTTTTCACATTACTTAAACATTTTACACTTTGATAATTTTGTATTCTGAATTTTCTACATAGTTTGTAATAATAAATAAATATTGTTCACTCAGTGATTTAATAACATGATTGACGTCAAATTGGCAAGTCGTTGACATCCCGATTTTGAAGAAATATGTTTTTTTGTAAAATACTTTTAGTAGAGTCATAGTATATTATTTATTCCGTGTGGTACGGATATTTTTTTTTAACAACGGCCTAAATGTAAAGCATTCCTTTTAATATTTCAGGAGACGTGGATAATTGATTCTAAGACAGAATTAAGCGCTTTGCGTTTTCATTGCGGCTTAGAAGGGTATAAAACATTAAAACCTCCCGGCGCATGTATTCCCTCCCCTCTATAACATCGGGTCCTTCAAACGTAGTGTGAAGAAGCATTTGGCCAGACCGGCAAAATGATAGTGACGGAGTGAAGATATTTGTGTTTTCCATCCGTTACTCTCATCTCTGGACTGTATTCGTACTTTCCATCAGGCGCGGTGCAGTCATTTTGCCGAGTCGCAATAATAAAAAAAAATAAATAAAAAATAAATAAAAAAAACAAAAATCCGAAAACGACTTTTTAATAATATCAATGACGGCACGAACAAGTCGTGAGTCTGATGATAAGCTACACGCCTGTCCATAACAGTTGCAGTGCCACTCAGAGCTTTAAATCGCAAAGATCTGAGGGGCACTGCCAGTGCGCCCCTCACTCATATATATTGCTAGAGGCCGCGAGTTGTTTCTTCCGCAGTTTCACCACATTTTACTAATATGCTTAGTCATAATGTACAATTTAATTAGTAAGCTATACAAACACTAAAGACGTAGGAAGCGATTAGAAGTATTTGTTTATTAACGTTATAGGTGTAATTTAAATGACGTACCTAATTGTGTATTATGTAATCTAACCTTAATGTAATTAAATTTAAATAAGTGTTTGCAAAGATCGATTGTCCAAGTATAATATCACAACTATGAAGTTATCTTTACAAGAATAAAGGGTGTCATATACTTACGAATATTCTCAGCAGTAGTAGAGCTCCTTGTGGAAGAGTTCGTCCAGGGAAGTACTGCCACCACACCCATTTCTGGCATCAAAGAGCCAGCGGCGGATTTGCCCAAACGGCCAGATTTTAAGGGCGGCCAATCGTGAGAAAAAATTCACTGATGCTAACAAGAAATAACTCAAAGTACCTAAATATTCTAAAGGTTCACGTACATTTTATGTGTAAGATATAGATAGATATGTTACAGATCTATAATATAATGTATAATCACTACATCACTACATATTATCACTACCGCGTCTATCTGATCGCGGGAAACTCAAAAACTACTGAACAGATTTTCATGCGGTTTCCACCAATAGACAAAGTGACTCATGAGGAAGGTTTAGGTGTATAATTTAATAAACTAAATTCATTATGTAGTCTACCAGTATATGACGACTACATGGCCATGGGCATAGGGCGGCCAGGACGGCAAATCCACCTCTGAAAACACAATGTGAGAATTACTACGTTCCGGTTTCAAAAGGTAAGGGTGCGGTGAAATGACAGACAATATGAGACATGTCAACTTTGTCTCAGGGTGACGGGTGCAGTGCTAGTGCCCGAGTAAACGTGATGTTATGACCAGGCTCTCGACTTGTTCGTATAGTCCCTTGGTAACGATCAAAGAATACACTTGGTGTCTTCCAAGCTCTTTCATTTTCAGTTTTTATTTTCATACTTAAGTGCGTAGTAAATGGGAAATAGGGGACATTAAAAATTTATCGCAAATGTTTTATATTTTGGTAAACTTATCACGAAATAAAATCACGTGATTTTTTTATCCCTCCTTTTTCTTAGAGTGTAAGACAATTTACAAAGACGCGCGGTCTAATTTTGTATGCCCCGCGTTATGTTCTGAGTTGGACAGCTAAAGCGATGTCCACTCGCTACTAAATTACTTCCATTAATAGTCTAGTGTCTATGTATGACTGTCTTTAACGGACTTTAAAAAAGGATGTTCTCAATTCGACGTTTGTTGTGCGTGTGTAAGTTACACGATTAGTCCAGATTATTTGTGAACAGATTTTGATGATTCTTTTGTCGTTGGAAAGGAAGCACATCAGTAGTGTAGGCCAAATTCAAATTTGAAGAAAATATAAAGGGGTTTCACAGGAAAGTAAATTATAAAATGGCGAGTAAGAATCCCAACATTTTTTCATTTTTAAATGTATATAGGAAATTAAACTATTTTTCCGGATTTAAATCGCGTATATTTGGTTTTTCAATTTCATTGAATGTGTAGGTTTATCGCGAGCATGTCATGGATAAACCTACACATTCAATGAAGTTTGACAAACCCCAGGTCCTTGCAAAAGAAGTCCGTTATCTACCCAGGATGCTGCGAGAGGCCATTGAAATTAAAAAACATCCTAATTTCAACAGGGAAGATGGTTACTCCGTACCACCAGTTTGGGATCCAGTATTTCCTCTAATGAAAAATCCCAAACAGACATAAGACTGCAGTACTAATTAACATGTTTTAGTTTATTCTAATTTCTATTAATAATTAATAATAAATTGAACTTAATAAAAATTCATTCAATAAAATAATTTGTAAAACTTAATATAGCGTAAATTGGAATGTTTTCTTTGTAAAATTAAAAATAAGGCATTTAATTATTAACTATTGTAACTATAGTGAAAAAATAGGGTGGTTTGCATCAATATTAGACATAACTGGTTGAAAACTGTACCACCTCAGTCAACCGTGACCATGGGACCTGTAAAGGGCCCGAAACGTCGGTTTGTTTGAAAAAACAAATATATGCGATTTAAATCCGGAAAAATAGTTTCATTTCCTATGTGTAACAATCGCGAAAACCTAAGAACTTCAAATGTATAATCAGAAAAGAAGCAAAACATTATCATTTGAGCAAAAAGAATAAAATACAAAACTAGACGAAAATTAAATACATAAAAAGAGACGAGTTCGTAGAACAAAAGCTGTTACAATTTTAATACAAAGAAATATTACATTTGGTAATTCTATGGAGACGATTGGATAGTCTGCTATTTAGTTCAAGAATTTTATACAAATTTTATTTTGCATTTGTATTATAGGCTTAGAATAATAACGCATAGAATGATAGTTTCATATCAAACGAACTGTCACAAGTGAGGCAAAAATCAAATTCATGTAGGCTAGTGTTAGTAGTAGGGTAATTTTCGGTTTTAGTGGATATTTATATAAAAATACAAGTTGAAACGCGTTACTTCCTTGTGGAATGTGATGTTAGTATCTATTTTATGTTTGTCTGACGTATTTTTACACTCATTTACCGCACATTTCGTCATTTTTATATAAAATTCTTGATCTGTTCTCGGTGCAAGTTGACCTTGAGCACTGAAGGCCCGCCCGCTTGTGTAGGCCCATTGGGCGCGCTTCAATTTGCCTCACTTAGCGTGTGCGGCCTAGGTTTCTATGCGTTATTATTCTAAGATTATAGGTATATAGTCTTCTTCTCCTACGAATTTACTAGGAGCATGAAACGGATCTAGAAAACGTAAATTAAAAACTAGAAAACGTATTAAATAATCCGTGCTTAATTATTATTACACTTTTGCAAATGATAGTACATAATAATCAAAGCTATTTATTGTTATTCTGGTCTAGAATTCATCATTGATTTTTAAAGGTTTATTTAAAAAATGTCAGTGGGACCATGAGTTCATAAATCGTCAAAACTAAGATCGTTGGTTCCACCATCTAAGTGGGAACAGGAGTACTTAAAAATCCTATCGGACCTACTAGCGGAACCAAGTAGTGGGTCCAACTGTCCTAAAGGTTAGCACCCAGTTCTAGGAGCATGAGGAAACGGCCGGACTTTAGTCCGACTGAATCCCCTAGTGGATACTGTTTACGTCATTATTAATAAGAGATCCATGTGAACAAAAAATCTACAAGTAATCTCCCAGAGGATGGTAGCAGGCAATTCAAATGGACGGAGGGAACTAATTCCACCTCTAAGGGTGTCAAATTAGAAGACGAATCCAATTTATTGCATTTCACCCACTTTCTGTTAACAGATTACAATAAAACGGCCGTTTCCTCTTGCTCCTACTGGTAGGAGCACGAGGATTAATATGTCCTTGTGCTCCTATCGTGCCGTCTAATAAGTACACTCAACTAGAATAAAAAAAAATCAAAATAAAAGTAAAAAATATCTTTATTTCATAGGTAAGAAGAAAATTACACTTGAAATTGTCACTTTGCGTTTTTACGTAAAGCTGATTCCCTTGAGAAGCATGATGAAAGTATTCGTATTTGTTTAAATCGCTTAATTGTAATTAGAAATCTTACTTATATTACCAAACAAAATTTTTATAACTAAGTATTTCTAAAAAGTGACCAACACTAATTTCGAGTAATACAATTACTTACAAATATAGGTGACAGTACTTTAGTAGGGCACGAGAACATTTATCCTTTTGATCCTACCCGTGGGAGTACCTATAAGACATATTTGCCCTCGTGCTCCTACCAGTAGTAGCACCCAGTAGTAGCAAGAGGAAACGGCGAATAAAACTTAGCAAATAGATATATTTCCACATACTTTCAAAGTCGGTTTTTTTTTTAATTTTGCAAATAAAAAAAACTTAGTTGACACATATTTTTTATTCCATTCAAAGAGAACAATGTCGAGACCAGGAATGATTTCATGGCATTGAGAAATGGTGCATCGAAGCCGGTGGCGGTGGCGGTGGAACATGTGCATGAGGACGACTTTCCCGTCCACGCCCGGGGTAGTAAATGCCTCTGGGAACAGAAAATAAACAAGCTCATATAAAAAATGAACGTTTTCGGCGTTGTGAAACACGAGAAAACTTATGTCCATTGCCCACCATACTGAACTCCCATTGAGAAATCCGAAAGTAATCCGTTCTCGAATCTACGACTACCTACTGACAATCTGAAAAGTTTTACAAACATTTTAGTAGCAACCACCAAGCAGTAATGTCAGCATTACTGTGTTCTGGTGAAATTACAGGAACATGGGACTTTTCAACTTGAGTGTCAGGGTGAGCGGCGCAGTGGCAGTGCCCCTCGCGATGTTTGGATTTTTCATTCATTCAGTTCATTTATTAATATTGTAGGCAGGCAGGGTGGAGGCGGCTAGTGCAGTGAGGATTCCATCGCTGCACTAGGTTCCTTCGCGTTTGGGTACCACTTTCCACTTAACATCAGGTGGAGTGGAGTCATTTGCCTGTCAGGTATAAAAAAAAAAAAAAAAAAAAAAAAAACAATTATATTTTTTGACACCAGCTGGTGCTCGCGACTTCGTCTCCGTAGAGCGTAAGCACTTTATAATTTTATTGGTTTTCCATATAAACTTCCATTCACTATTTCAACCCCTTCAAGATTTATTTTTGTGACATAAAGTAAAGTAACTATGTCTTTCTCTAAGGTCCCATGGCGTGAAAACGTAACTATTAAAATGTAAATGTTGCACCCCCCACGGAAGAATGGTATAGGTAGAGTTACGTCAAAAATGTTTAATGCTCCATTAGGTACAGAAAAATATAACTCACATGCTCTCCAATTCTTGTGACTCTATCTACAATATTAGTCCAGTTACAAGAATTGGATTATATTTTTCTGTATCTAATGGCGCAATAAACATTTTTGACGTAACAACACTTAGGCCATTCTTCCATGAGGAGTGCGATGTGATATTCATAATACAAAATAAATGATTATTTTCTATGTATCAAGTTGGTTCCAGTATTTCCATAAGTTCACAATAATTGCTGGAGAAAAGATTTTCCTACGACTCAAATCTCTCTTTTCCATCCCAAACAACTATTGTTAAATAAGTAATACATGATCAAAGGGGAAAATTTACAAGTCCGTGATTAGACCTGTCATGTTGTATGGATCAGAATGTTGGGCGATGAAAAGGGAGGATGAACGAACTGTGCATGTACCGGAAATGCGAATGTTGAGATGGACGTGTGGAGTGATGAGAAAGGATAAGATAAGGAATGAGTACATCAGGGGAAGTTTGAAAGTGGCGCCAGTGACGGAAAAGATGAGGAGTAATCGGTTAGCGTGGTATGGACATGTCATGCGGAGGGAACAATGTCATGTGACGAGAAGCGTGCTAGGTATGAATGTGGAGGGATATAAGGGGAAAGGAAGGCCAAAGAAAACATGGATGGATTGTGTGAAAGATGACATGGATAAGAAAGGTGTGAGTATAAAAATGACGGCTGATAGGGGAGAGTGGAAGAAAAATACATGTTGTGCCGACCCCACCTAGCGTGGGATAAAGACAGGAAGAAGAAGAAGAAGAAGAAGAAGAAGTAATACATGTATCAACGACATGCAATTTCTTTTTTGTTAAGATAGATAGATAGATAGATAGATAAAGCGTTTATTCAGTACAAACACAAGCAGAAACAAAACATTTACAATTACATCACAAGGTACACCACAAAACAACATAGAACAAAAATTACAACATTTTTACATAAAACATCTAGGTCATACCTAAAATGCAACAGTTTGTACTGAAATGGCCCTGGCTCAGCATAATTACTGTAGACCGTGAAAAGAGTCTATCAGCGCTGGTTTTCTGCCAGTACCATATTATGGTGAGCGATCGCACCTCAATAAGCCATGCCATCAAAGTGATGATGAAAGTGATGATCACACGCAAATATATATAACACAAAAACAAAAAAAAAAAAAAAGAATAGAAAATACATATATATGTCAATACGTTAAACATTGTTAAGAGCAAAACATAGTGTCAAGCCTGATGCGCAAGCAATATATAATAATAAAACTCATTTCCACACATACATATAAAATACAAATACAATAATATTAATTTTTGGTTATTTGATTTTTAGTTTTAGGTTTACAGGTATCAGATTCAGGGGAATTAAAGAATTATGAGTTACTATATAATACGAGTACATATCTGTTTAGACAAAAGAAGTTTTTTATATTCACGCTTAAATTGTAGCTTACGCGTGACGTCACGCAATGGAGGAGGAATATCGTTCCAGCACTTACTGGCGCGATACCTGAAACCTCCGCGAAAAGCAGCCGTTTTGTGTTTTGGGATGTTTATGACATTTCTTGAAACCAATCGTAACGTATTTCCCCTCACAGGACGCGACCAATCGATTTTCTGGTATAAATAATCTGGTTTCCGGGTTTTAATAATGTCAAACATTAGGCAGGCCAAATACAATTTCTGACGAGCATCCATTTTCAGTATGCCAAATTTGTTGAGATAAGGCGTGATATGTGTGCGAGGAGGGATTCGAAAACAATAGCGAGCACAGGAATTTTGCACTCGCTGGATCAATTTTTGAGAACTTTTTTTTTAGACAGCCACTATATACTGTGATGCAATAGTTCAGCCTAGACAATACCAGTGTCTCACAAAGCAGAACTCTCAGCTCCTGGCTTATATAGGACCGAAAATTGTACAGAACTTTTAGTCGATAAAAGCAAGAGCGTGTGACATCCAATATGTGATTTTCAAAACGTAGCTCACTATCCATTTGCAGCCCAAGATTCCTAGCTGAGCTAACTCTTTCTATAGCCACACCTCCTATAATAATTTGTGGATCAGCACTTATAATCTTTTGGACCTGACTACGGGAGCCATGTATGACATATTTTGATTTCGTCGCATTTAAAACGAGGCTGTTTGAAGAACACCAAGCAGAAACACGACTCAGATCCTCATTTAACTTGCTAACCATAGAGTTCACGTCACTTACATTGCATGATATGTATATCTGCAAATCGTCGGCATACAAGTGATACCGGCAATTCAAAACACATTTAGCCAGATCACTACTATACAGGATGAAAAGTAACGGTCCAAGAATGGAGCCTTGCGGGACGCCTTTTCGGATTGTCTTGAGGCCTGATTCGATGTTTGTACCATCCGAATTTTGTATAACTACCTTTTGATAACGTCCATTAAGGTAACTACTGAACCAAGACGTGGTATTGTGGTCAGAACCGTAATATGCCATCTTTGAAAGAAGCATTTGAATATTTATGGAATCGAACGCACGAGAGAAATCCAGCAAACATAAAATCGTACCCCTTCCAATGTCTTGTGAAGCCAGAATGTTGTCAACGACATCAAGAAGTGCTGTAGTAGTGCTCCGCTGCTTGCGAAACCCCGACTGAAAAGATGGAAGAATTCCATTTGCTTCGCAATAGCGCATGAGTTGCCCATGAACTGCCTTCTCTAATATTTTGGATAAATAAGGTAAAATACTAATTGGTCTCAAATCTTTAACATTAGCGGGATTATTATTTTTAGGAATGGGACGAATAACGGCAATTTTCCAAAGAGAAGGATATGTAGAAGACTCGATGGATTTATTTATGATAGCTGTTATAACACGTAAGGTTTTT